CTCATCCGCAAAGCATCTCATAGTCATGCATGGTGAATCCTGAACTTGCATGGGGACTTGTGTTCGACGCCTACGTTAATATCAACATCCTACGGTCTCCATTCTTCGATGTGGAATTTGAACACGACGACACCATTGGAGATTACTTGGATCGAATTCTCCCCGTCCTTGTGTCCGTCATCGACCGTCAATTTTCAGACTACACATGGATCATGAATAGTCATCCCACCGTACCACCTCCACCTCCGAGTTCCTTCTCAACAATGACGTTCCTTGGCTCCTCCCTCCTCGTGGCGACCTCATTTCTAGCGTGGACGCTCTTCCGCCGCTCAACCTAGTTTCGTAGGAGAGAAAGGCCTCAAGGTGAACAACTCCTTATTAATCGTCGGATTCAAGTTACTAGCTTTTAACTTTACGTTCTCCTTTGTATTTGCTTAAATCGTACGGTTAATTTCTTTGTAATTTCTTTGCCTAAGCAAGTGGAACACAAAGAATTTTTATAGCCAACTTTGATTTGACGCATGCTTTTATAAGAGGTTAAGCTACTAGTAAATTTTCTTTCATAATCTTGTGTAACTCAACCGTGCATCACATCACTGAAGTGTTACAGTAATAGCTGGATCAAATTTGTGATTTGTGATTTAACACAATGGAAATATCATGTTTGGTAAATACGAGATTGTAGGGCTTCCACAATACCCCAGAAATCAGGTGGGTCTTTCCTTAGTTTTCCTTCATTGGCTTCCAATCTTTGATTGTAACTGATATGTATAGGTTAATGCTTGTAAAATTGCATTTTGTATTTTTATTAGAAGATCTAAAGCATAATTTTGCTATGATATTTTTTGCTTTTGTTGTCTTTTATTAAATTTATTCCAAAAAAGTGTCTTAAGTGGCCCAAGTCATTGATTTTAAATTTAACATGCAATAGATCTCTAAAGATCCTTATCATTAAATACAAATTTCAATAATGATAATATCATCAAAATAAATCACAACTGTATGATTTTTCACTTTTTAAATGAAAAGTGAAAATTCTAATGATATTCTTTTAAGGCTGAGGTTTTTGAAAATAAAAAAATAGGTTAGAGATGCTCGCTTTAATTCATATAACATCCTTTTCAACTTGCATATATATCTCCTTGGATTAGCCTCATGAAACTCAATTGCTTACTACATGTTACATCTGCTTTGTGTTCCCCATGAAGAAATACATTTCTAACCTAATCTTGATTGGGCTGAGCTTTTATGTGAAAGTGATCTTACTTTTTGAATATGAACTTGAACTCATAATTGAAACCCCTGAATATAAGCATGAGTATCTGATAAACTTGCATCAACTATGCTTGTAGCCAATTTAAGACTAATAATTTAGCTATTGGTGAAGTTCTTGATGAAATTCATTCTATAAATCAAATTGAAAATGATTTTATTTTTGGTTATTGGTTTCTTGATTTTCAAAATCATAAAGCAAGACTTAGGGGCCATTTGGTTTGAAGCGAAAGCGGTTTAAATTATTCCAAATATACGGGTTTTGAAAATATTGGTTTTTGATTTGAGGTAAAAGAAATGCAGATCGTTAGATTTGACTGAATTTCAAATACACTATAAATTTTCTATCATTGTCATGATAAGCCCTCCATAGCCGTTGGTAGCTTGTTGCCACCGCTGCTCTCTGTCGGCCACTTGTCGTCATCGTCGCTACCACCAGCGTTCTTTGTCCGTTGCTTGCCATCATTGGCTTCGCTATCAGCCACTGTCATAGTTGATTTTACACTACATTCATTTTACTTCAAGGAAAAAAAAAAGATAATCACCTGCATTTATTTAACACCTATCTAAACAACTCCAAATATTTCAAATGCACTGCATTTTTTTAATATTTTATTTTATTTTATTCTATTATGCATTTCTTTTTCACCCGATCAAAGAACCCCTTAATGGAGAAAGTCAAATCATGCTAATATTTTAAACAATTTGCTAATGTTGTTTTCCTCGAAGAAAACATGAAATCCAAAGTTTCAACTATCTAGATGCATTTAAAAGTGTGTAAAATATCATTATTGATATATAAGCCATTGGGGTTGGCTTTTCTTAAAGATGTTCTTTGTTTGTATAAACATATGTTACATTATCGTATTTATGTTGTTTGTTTGCTTTTAATATTCATTATTATTTCATCATTTAGTAAAAGGTTATAAATCATTATTAGTATTCATTAGGACGCATATTTACTTTTTACTATTCTCGTTACTTATATCATATTCTCATACTTGCTTGATTTGCATGATAATGTTTACAGAAAATTAACTATTAATCATGAAATTATAAGTTTATTATTGATGTGAACATGTGATATGAAAGTATAAGTTTATTATAGATCAGATAATTATATGTGCAAATCCTAAAAGCCTTCCCAAGGCGACTTAAGCAGTCAACTGGAAGAAAGATGGTACCATACTAAATCATACATTGCATTGAGAAAAATGCTTACAAAATGAAAATTATAGGAAGCTATGGCCGTGCTAAATCATCCAATGATATTATATATGTTTTGACTTTATTTCATGAACCCTCTGCCAATGCAATGGATTCTTTTTTCTTTCCATCCTGTTACTTGATAGCTCTACTCACCTTGTTCTAGAAGCTATCTTATATAGAAGGATTATTTCTAATATCGATGGTGGATATCGCTTGTTTCTTGTGTTTTGGGATGATAAATCAACTCATGATGATTCATTAATTAACCGGTATGAAGCATTGCAATTATGACCAGCTTTGATTACCAAATATCTAATATTTAATCTGTCAGGGTCAAGTTTTTCCAAGTCATGCAAATGATGCAAATCTAAAAGTATTATTCATTAGAAATGCAAATTAAGTTTGATGGGATTGTTTTAGTTGTCTCTGTTTCTTATTTTGCAGTTTTCTGGTTTTGAATTTGATTGCAATACATCATTACATTAATTTTTTTTATAAGTTTTCTTGTTTTGGATATTGAAAGTGCAATTTTAGTATTTTGTCAAAACTAAGGTTGGAAACTTGGTGTTCTAGTTGGAATTCAAATGAGCTGAATTGAAACTTGTAATATTAGGTCAGATTGTGGGGGGATTCTGAGAATTTACTTATTTTGGGTTATAAGCATGGCCCTTGAGACATTTAATTTTATTATTGAATGATTGAATACAAATTTTATTTTTCTCTAAATTATTGTGTGTTTTTAGATGTGGATCCTTCGAGTTGCAAGTCTAGATATATTTTAGCAATGATTCTCCGTTTGCTGCCATGAGATTTGGATCTTACAATTTGTTATTTCTATCCATGCTATTTCTTCTAAATATCCTAGGGATTGTTTTGTGTTCTTGATTGAGATATTGCTAAGTTACTGTCTTTCATTTTTACTGGAGGATATCTCATACAAAAAAAAAAAAAAAAATTAATCTCTGATTTCTTATGAGATATTGGATTTTGATGATTTTTAAATTATCGTTTGAAATGGATTAAACGTGTTTTCTAATGTTGCAACAAAAAGTGACCAATCTTTGCTTAAATTAAAAAGGTTGGGAAACTACAAATTATTATTTTTTTATGTGCTTCTTTGCACATCTCATTATAGATTCACATTAAAGAACCTTAGAACCTAAGACATCTTACATTTGTTCTTTATGATTTGTAACCTTCAAAAGGCATTTCTGAAATTGGGCAGACCTGTGGCATTAGTGTCGGTGTTGCTTGCCTTCGTTTCCTAAAATCTTGTGCTTCCTGGTGCCCCTCCATCATGCATGCCTATTAGCCCAATCTTTTTGGCCCGCCCTTGACAACCTATTTTGGAATTTCTGCTCAAGTGAGAGTGAGTTAATTGGCAATTGATATCTTCTTCAAGGTAAACTTAGCAATGACAACTGTGACAAATTCATTAAACCTGTGGGGAACTCGTTCTTGATTATATGGAGTTTTGATCCAGCTTGGTTCATGCTTCAATTTTTCCCAACAAAGACCCTCAGAAGATAAAATAAGGTGATTATTTGAAATGCAAACTTCATGTAAATACTATGTAAAACTTAGAATTTGAAACTCAAGTTTTAACTGAGTATAATTATAAATTTCTCATTCTTAACTTAGAACATTTCAGCTGTGCAAGATTTTCGTATAAGTATATATATATACGTAATACCTTTAGAAAATAGCCAATATTTTAAATTGAAGCTTATTGAAAATCAGAAGGCTTCTGCATGACAAAAATTACAAATTGTTGAAGCCCAGAAAGTGAATACCGAAGTATTCATCAACTATAGCTATGCATACGAACAACAAAGAAATATAACAAGGAGAAATCATGCTTCATTATATTCTTCCTCATTGAATACAAATAACAAATGTGTATTTATATCTACAAAACTTTAAGTATAAAGACGGTAATGCCCACGGTGGATACATAAAGCTGACAAGGTAGAATAATGAAATGTAGTGGCAACAGATTCTGACCAACGAGCATAGGACAACCGCTTCAGGTAATTATTATGGTTTGTGGTGTAATGGAGATGATGTGTTTTTATCACTGCCCTTCAAGTTGATGGGAGGTAGAACCAGCAACTTGTCTCGAAGATGAGTGATCCTGGATCAACTTGTCTCGAAGATGAGTGATCCTGGATCAACTTGTCTCGAAGATGAGTGATCCTGGATCTATAAGATTTGGTGAAGAAGTCCGAAAGCTGATCAGTGCTGGAAAAATGATGAAATATATATATATATATACATACATACATACATATATAATTAAAAAAATCTGAATTTTTGGGTTAAGTTGGAAAGATCAAAGAGTGAAATCACATAACTGTTGGAATCAGTCACAGTAAAACATCTTCGAAGATTCTGAAATTGATACGTAATACCTTGACAAGCACCTGTTGGTGATTTGCAGGAATTTTGAATTTGCTCATTCTTTTGTTTTCCTAAATTTCCAATGCTTGTTTTGTTACAAATCATGTTATATATGGCAGGAAGATGTAGTTGAAACTACTTTGGTTGGCAAGCATAATAAAGGCTGCCATTGCAAGAAATCTGGTTGCCTCAAGAAGTATTGCGAGTGTTTCCAGGCCAATATTCTTTGTTCTGAAAATTGCAAATGTATTGACTGCAAAAACTTTGAAGGAAGTGAAGAGAGAAAGGCACTTCACCATGGAGATCATGGGAATGCTTTGACTTACATGCAGCAGGCGGCAAATGCTGCCTTAAATGGAGCTATTGGTCCTTCTGGTTATTTTTCGCCTGCATCAAAGAAGAGGAAAAACCAGGATCTCTTCTTTGGCACATCTGTAAAGGATCAATCAATTCACAGTCCCGTGCAATACCCAAATGTACTTCCTTGATCTTGTTAATTTTTATCAATTACTAACATTAGTTGACAAGTTATCAAATTCCCTGGTTTAGTAGAACATATTCATTCTTTCTAATCTCTTTTAACCTGTAGCTTAACATGTTTTTGTATTTCTAATTTCTGCTGAAATTTCTTGTGTTGATAGGCTGGTCATGTGAAGAATTCAGGGCCTTCTTCTCTTGCTTCTGTTCCTACAGCTCGTGCTGCTAATCCTGCTTCTTTGGGATCCGCAAAAGCTACTTATAGGTATTAATATTTCTTCTTCTCTACTAATGTAGCTTCCCTGCTAATTTTGCACGTACGACTTCAATTCTTTCTTGCAGGCCATTGCTAGCAGACATTGTACACACTGAGGATGTAAAGGAGTTATGCCGAATTTTAGCCGTAGTATCAGGAGAGGCTGTTAAAACAGCTGCTGGTATGACAGATAACTACATTTTTCTAAATTACTATGGTTAACACAAATCTTTGTCCACAACTCTTAAGATTTTGAACCTTTTCAACCCCTTATCCTTCCTTTTCCATTTACATTACTTTTATCTAATAACTTTTCTTGGGTTTCTTCTAGCTTCAGTTGTACCATTGTACTTTTATGCACATGCCATCTAAATCTACTTTTTACTAATGTATATTTAGCAGGTTCCACTCTTACCATCTCTCTAATTATAGAATCATGGCAATCTATGTGTTTTTGCTTCCTTACACATCCATCTTAACTTTTCTTATTGCGATCACCCTGAGAAAGTAAGGCACATCTTTTTATTTCCTAGCATAAAACCAAGAATTTTCTTCTTGGATTTCAGTAAAGGGTGTCAAGCATTATACTTGCAGAAGCTTCTTTGTTTTCTCCTTGCCTATTTAAATTTTTTTTAGCCCTTTCTAGTTGATGTAGGTTATTGCTTGTTACAAGGTTTGACTGTTCATCATTTGCTTCGTGTTGATTGTCCATTTTTGTTACTTAGCTATGTTTTTGGATTTCTTGAAGTGCATTGTTTTCCTTATGCTTGAAAAGTGATTTGTTTCTTTATATGCTTATATTTCAATTTAGTTATTTTTTGTGCTTGAAAGGTGATTATTATATATTTATGCTTTTGTTTCAATTTTGTTTGTCTTCTTCTTGAAAAGTGATTAGCATCTTTTTATTGTTTGTTTACAAGAAATAAATGGAAAAGGTAAAAATCCTAGGACATTTGGAAGTTTATAAGTTTTAATTTGCTAGAAAGATTAATGATATGAATGATTTGAAATAGAAAATTGTTGAGGTTAACAGGATTAGTGTTAGATTGATTGCCATTAATACAATTATATGTTAGGATATTATAAATAAGTTAGTGCTTATCCTTAGTTGAATTAGAAGTTAATTTGAAAACTTAGATTTGGGAAAAGATGGATGAATTGATACTACTAATTTCAAAATCTTATCCTTAGTTGAATTAGAAGTTAATTTTAAAACTTAGATTTGGGAAAAGATGGATGAATTGATACTACTAATTTCAAAATAAAATATATTTATGAAGATGACTTAGATATATTGGCTCAAATAGGATGTGTTATGAGAGGATTTATGGTGGATTTGGAATAGGCCCTAAAAATGCAATAGGGTAATTTATACCTAATTTCATAATGGTTTATGGTCTTGACATAATGAATACATACTTTACAAAGTGAAAGCACTTAATTACTTACAAAAATGGAGACATTAAATCATAAATTGACTTCTTCATACTTAGAAAGAACTAAATGTATTTTTGTAATGATTGTAATAGTTGAATTAGAAATGTTGTAAGTGTGATCATAGATAAGAGCTTGAAGGATAATATTGTAGAAATTAATATAATTGTAGATATAATTATAGCTCTAAAAATTACTATTGATTTTAAGATTATTAATATTATAAGTGCTTATGCTCTTAAAGTAGATTTGGATATGTGTTCAAAATTAAAATTTTGAAACGATTTAGAAGAATGAATATAAAGAATACATCTTGAAGAAAGAGTTTTTATTGGAGGAGATTTAAATGGACATGTTGGTAGAGAGATAAAAGATTTAAAAACATTTATAGCAGTTAAGAATTTTTTGTTACTAATGAAGGTGGTAGGATCATATTAAATTTTGCTTTAACTTATGATTTTATAATTGCTAATATTTTATTTAAAAAAAGAGAAGAACATCTCATAACTTATAAGAATGAACATAGTAAAACTAAGATTGATTATTTTCTTATAAGAAAAATAGATCATTTAGATTGTAAAGATTGTAAAGCCATTACAAGTGAAAATTTAGATTGTAAAGATTGTAAAGCCATTCCAAGTGAAAATTTATATATCCAATATCGTTTATTAGTTTTGGACTTTAAGCTGAAAGGGTGTGAAATGAAAAATAAAATAAAATATTGTCTTAGTATTAGATGGGCATATTTAAAAAACGCTAATAAAAATATTTTTGAGAGCAATATTCCATGATTTTTAAGATTTAGGTTGTTCATGAGGAAGTTACTATTATTTGAAAAAAAAGCCAATGAGATTAAGAATAATGCAAAACATATGCTTGAAGAATCAAAGTGAAAAGCTCATAATAGTAAAACTAATTAGTTGTTGAATCAAATGTCTAAGAAAGGATAAAAATAAGATGATTTGTTTTAAAAATTGATTTAGATGTAAAAACTTGAAAACTTAGGATATATATAGAGATGTCCGTAGAGAGTCTAAGAAAGCAATTTATGATGTAAAGAATTTGGTTTATAGTGATTTATATAATGGATTAGATACTAATGATGATGAAAGCTGTATATATAAGTTAGCCTAGCAAAAGAGAGGAGAGGTAAGGATTTAATTCAAGTGAAGTGCATTAAGGATGAAGATAAAAAAATACTTTTTTAGTGGTGGATATTCAACATAAGTGGATGAGATTTTTCGATAAATTTTTCAATGATGACTATGAGAATACGATTGACTTTAGTGACCTTAGTACCCTAAATGAAAATAGAGATTTTTATTTTTCTCATCGTATTAGTAAAATTAATGTTAGAAAAAACTTTAAAGAAAATGAATGTGAAAAAGCAGTGGAACATGATATTCCAATAGATGTGTGAAAATGCTTCGGAGTCAAGGAATTGACTTGCTAAAATATTTAATATTATTTTGAAGACTAAAAATATGCTAGCTGAGTGGAGTATGTTGGTTCCTATTTTTTAACAATGAAAGTGATGCACAAGTGATGTGAAACATGTATGAAAACAAGAATTGCATTGGAAATTAATAATGATTTGAAAAGTTTTGTCAATTGTAAACCTTATGTTTCACCAAGTTAGATTCATGAATTTTCAATTAGAATTCATGTAATAGCATACAATTACAAGCTAGATTGATAGGATGCTCATAATATAACAACAAAATAAGTCAAGTAACACTAGGGCAATGATAATAAAAATCCACAACTTAACAATTAGAAATGCTCACCTTGAGTTCTCATGAAAGTAGTGCTTTAGCGGAGGAAGAATACAAGCAACCCTAGAGAAGCCACTAAGAGACAAGTGATGCCTACGGTATTGTTCGTCGGAGAGGTATCCGGAGGAGGGGAAGTAGATGGACGGCCGATGATTCGCCAATTCTCTGTTGGATGATGTTCTTCGATGGAAGGAACTAATGTGAAGAGAATGCGATCCACGTAGTTGTCCACGGTATCGTCAACATTCAAGTTTAAGTCAAAGAAAGGGGATCGAAGAAGATCCGTTCGTCCTTGATCATCATACACAAATCCGTGATCGTGTTTCAGAATGGCCATTAATGGAGGTGACGTCAGCTTGAAGATAATCCTTGTATGTGTAAGGCTTAGATGAGGAGAGAAGTGGAGGGAGTTTGGAGAAGATGATAATTTTGGCTAGAGTTAGGAGGGGGTTGTTCTTTGGAATTAGTGAGGGAAGTGGGGATGAATAGCTTCTGGAAAATCTGAATATTACTTTCAGAGTTTATAGGGAGGGAAGGACTAATTTTGAAATTCAAAATTATCCCTAAATTGGACTAGGAGGGGGCGGCAGCTTAGAGAGATGAAGTGGGAGAATTTAATTAGGGGTTGAGGTTTAATTGGAGAGAGGGGGCCTGCCATAAGGGGAGGGAGGATAGGTGTCTAGGTTCAATGCATGTGGGACCAAGGACTTAAATAATGATTGGAATCAAATTTGAAATTATTTTTTAGATTTGATTTAATTTGGGGAGCCTTCCTAATTGAGATTTAACAATAGTGGAAAGTATTTGAAATTCAAAGTTTAATTGAATTCAAATAAGGACACTTTCCTAATTGTCATTGGGATATTTTAGGAAAGTAATTAGAAGCCATTTGAATTTAAAATTCAAATTAATGGGTGAAGGTGGCCGGCTGCTAGAAGGTATTTTGGGAGGAGTACCGGCGGTTGAAGGGGTGGAAACTGGCGGCTGTAGGGGCCGGTGGGGTTGTCGGCGGCTTGGGATGATGAGAATGGGGCCGGCGGGTTATGGAGGGGAGGGATTGGGCCGGCGGCAAGGAGGTAGGACTATGGGTGGTGGCGGGTATAAGAGAAAGGGAAAGCAAAGAAAAAACCAAGAGCTCACCCGAAGGGGCTGTTGGATACTTCGTTTGAGCCTCTCCTAGGCTTCACCTCTCCTCTCAAGACCGCACAAACAAGAACTCAAAGTCTGAAAATTTTATTAATTCATCATTAACCTCATACAATGCAAAAGACCTCTATATATAGGTCTAAATAATAAAAGAAAAGAAAGACTCAAATGCCCTCGGGGCTACAACAAGAACTCACTACCCATAGTGGTAACATAGGAAAAACTAAAATGCAAAAATAATAAGCAATACATGAATACATCAAAAGTAAAGGCTCCGAATTGTAGCTGTCGATCTACGATTCCTCCGATGATACACATGTCAAAATCTCTGACTGATGTCTTCATCAACAAGAGTGTAAGAATTATAGAAGAATTAACTTAATGTGTCATGCATTAAAATTAGAGGAGAGAATAATTAGGCGTAGGTTATGAATGATATTAACATTCCTCAAAATCAGTTTGGATTGATGTTGGGTAGGTCATCTATGGAAGTTATACATTTGTTGAGAGGTTTGATGGAGGAGTATAGAGAGAGGAGGATTTATTTATGATATTTATTGATTTAAAGAAAGCATTTGATAAAGTTCGAAGAGAAGTGCTCTGGTGAGATCTAAAAAAAAAGGAGTTAATAATATTTATATTCAAGCCATTAAAGATATGTATACAGGAGTTGTTACTTGCGTTCAAACATAAACTAGTTTGATCAAGTATTTTACTATTTTAGTTGGATTACATTAAGGATCAGCCTTAAGCCCATATCCTTTTGCTTTATTCATGGGTGTTCTTACTACACATTTTACTAGAGGATATACCTTGGGGTATATTTTTTGTTGATGATATTCTTTTGTTAATAAACTAGAGAGGGAGTTGAAGGAAAACTTGAATTATGAAGGCCAACCTTAGAGTTTTTTTTTTTTTTTTAATAATTTTTTTAAAGAGGCCAACCTTAGAGTTTAAAGGTTCTTGTTTGAGTATATCTAAAACCAAATAAATGGAGTGTAATTTTAGTAGTAATTGATCTAGTGGGGGATTGTGACTTAGGCTGATCAAGTCATTAAAATAGTGCACGTTTTAGATATCTCAACTCTATTGTTCCAAGCGATGGTGAAATAGATAGAGATATTATTAGTAGAATTCAAGTTGGATGGTTGAAATGGAGTAATGCATAAGGCCTGTTGTGTGATAGAAAAGTATCTTTTAAACTTTAGGAAAAATTCTACAAGATGGTGATGAGACCTGTAATTGTTTATGGTGCAAAATGTCGGCCATTAAAAGTGATACAAAAAATTTAGTTAAGTGTTGTAGAGATGAGGATGCTCGGGTGGATGAGTGGCTTTACACTTAAAGACATAATGCGAAACAAGTATATACGTGAAAAGGTTGGACTTCCAATGGCAAATAATATTAGCGCCTTAGATGGTTTGGCCACTTAAAATGTTGAACTTCCAATGACCCGGTTAGGAGAGTGGATGTATTAGATATGGTCAATGTTAAGAAAAGTAGAGGTAAACCAAAAAAATACTAGAAATGATATTTTTTAATTAGATTTAAATGATAATTTAATTCTTAATAGGATACAATTATGTGAAAAGATTCTTGTAGCCATACCCATGCAGTATGATGAAGGCTTGATGTTGTTATTGTTGTTGTAATGATTGTAAGATGATTCCAGAAGAGAGTTTGAGCACAAAACTTAAATTAATAGTTTTTAGATATATATATTAAGAATATAAATAAAATAATCAAAAGGAATAATTGTCTAGCATTAGATGGTGAAGTTTGAAAGGTAATAAATTGTTAGTCTTTCAAAATAGGTTGCTAAGAGAGGCAAATGGTAATTCTTTAGTTGAGCCAAACTTGATGTTGGATTGGATGCTTGTTCCATTAAAAAGATTGATGTAAATATTTTAGGGGAGTTTAGAACTAAAGCATACATTGAGAAGTTTTGTGGGGGAGCAGTGAGATACTATGGAAAAAAATATTTTTAAAATGTGACAAAAGTTGAATGCTAATGGTTATCGAAAAGATAGAAGTCTAGTAAAAAGTTGTAGTTGACAAAGCTAAAGCTACAACATTTGATTATTTTTATGATAGTTTGGTATTAAAAAATAGAAAATGAAATACATAGAATACTAAGGCAAACGATATGAGATCTAAATGTTTTGATCAAGTTTGGATGTTTGCTACATAAAAAGTGAATATTTTTCTTAGAAGATCATAATGAATAGAATAAAGAGGCCTATAATAGATTGATCAGTAATAATAAAATGGTGTTTACTCTAAAGAAGATGCGTTTAAGTTATGCATGCTAAGATTTGAAGTGTTGTGAAGGATAGTATATTAGTGTGGTTAACAAATTTTTTAATAGAATTTATAAGACTATGAGGATGCCAAATGATCTGAGAAGAAGTAATTTGAGATCCATATTAAAGAACAAATTAGATGGTATAGATTGTGCTAACTATAGAGAAATCAAATTTATGAGTCATATGATGAAGCTATGAGAGCGAGTAATGGAACACATATTTAGATAACTTATGTTAGCTTCAGAGAATCAATTTGGTTTCATCAAAAAAATATCTACTATGGAAGCGATTTTTATGTCAAGATAGTTGATGTAAAAATATTGAAGTGAAAAAAATGATCTTCATATGATTTTATTGATCTTGAGAAAGCTTTTGATTCAGTAAGACGGGAATTGATTTGATCCTTAGTAAGGGTGAAAGCTATGTCAAAATATGTTCAAGTTATTAAATATATGCGCGATGGATCACTTTTAATATATTAATTGATTTTGGAGTTATCAAAAATTTTTTATTATAATACGTTTACATCAAGGGTTGGCATTGAGGCCAAATCTTTTTGTATTTCTTATGAAGATACTTATAAAGGATATTCATAGTGTATGCCTTGCCATACACTTTTTGCCTATGTTATAGTTCTAATTGGTGAGACATCTATTGAAATGAGTGAATATTAGAATAACAAAGAATAAATTTAAAACATTTGGCTTAAAATCAAACAAACAAAGAATGTGTATATGATATGTAGTTTTGTGAGTGCAATTTTAACGATTATTAATTAATATTATTACAAGATATAGTTCTATTTTGATTTGATTGGTTGAATTATTTTTGGATTTTTTATATAAAAGAAAAAGAGATTTAGATGAGAATATAGCTTCTATAGTTAAGGCTGAGTTGTAAAAATGAAAAAGTACATTAGGAGTATAATGCAACAAGTGGATATCATGGGGATTTAAAGGAAAATTTTATTAAATTATAATAGCTTAGCAATGTTGGATTATAGATCCTAGTGTTTGAGAGTAAAATAAATCACTGATAACTAAGTTGAATTCGATGAAAATAAGAATTTAAAATTGACAGGATAAATTAAGAAATGATCATATTGGAGGAATAGTTGGAGTCACATCTATTGAAGAAGGAAATTGAAAATATCTTTATGTGATTTGAACATATAAAATGAAGGATATGAAATGCAACTATTAGAAATATAGATAAAATTAATGTTGGACGGTTATGAAGCATAAGTATTTCATCTAACATAACATGGATTGAAGTTGTTCAAAATGATTTGCAAAGAACGTGTTTGACAACGTGCAACAAGAATGGATGAAAATTGATGATTCATAAATAGTTGCGATAAGGCTAACGATGATGGTGACTCTGATATCAGTTTTTCTCGAAGAAATTATAATTTTTTTGTCTGTTATTCATGGTTGGCTGTTAATGCATATCTAACTATACCCATGTTATGACTACATTTATGATTTACCCTTACTAAGGTTTTATTTTCTTGAGTTGGTTTGTATTTTATGGCAACATAAATTTGTTTGAACATTGAATGTAGTTTCTAGTTTGATGAATTTCTGTAGATGTAGGTGCTAAAAAACTGATCTAGTATCTACTTAAGTTGGTTTGATAATGACATCTAGATTTATCTAATTAATTCTGTTGATCTTACTCATTCCTATTCCCAGACAAAAGTGTTCAAGGCGAGAAGCATCTTGAGATGGAGGAGCAAGCAGAAAGTTCACTTGCTTTATCAAGCAATGATAAGATTGAGACTCCGGCGAGGCCGCCTGATCCTCCGAAAATATCAGTTGATGACCAATCAAATGGAACAGACAAAATGACAGAAGAGTCTGGCTCTGACTTTGCGGATGGTCAGAGAGTTAGAAGGCCTATGTCGCCCGGTACACTAGCACTAATGTGTGATGAGCAGGATATGATGTGTGTGTCATCTCAAAACAATAACCTGCCTCCAATACTCCCCAATAACCAGAGAATGACAGAGATGTATGCAGAGCAAGAGAAATGTGTACTGATGGCATTTCGTGAATCCCTCCTTAAACTAATCAATTGTGGAACGGCTAAAGGTAAATCAAATGCTTTCTTTTATCTCAGTAGGAATTAGTTGACATATTTGATATTTAATGATAAAATCTTGCTATCTTGGTCCTTTCATTGATCAAAGCACAATGTAGAATGTTGTTTGTCATGGTAAATCAAAGCAAATAGTCAATTCCTCTCCGTACACATGTATTCTTGTCCACTGCCACTGTTGCACCTTGGCATGCTTTATATACTTAAGACTTTCTTAATGTGACGTCATACTCGTTCACCATCTTTATTAGCTTTTAAGGTCTTTTCCAACCGAACTCCAAATAGTTGGGATAATTTTGGTGTGAACGATGATAATGATGTAGTTTATTTTGATAAGGCTATCAAATTTTGTAAGATTCAGCTAATTAGGAGGCTATGTTTTACTACAAGATGCACAAATTTGTATAACAAAATTTTCTGATATCCCAATCACACTATCTAATTTACTCAACCCAATTCACTTGAATTTACAAATAATCACCGGCTTAATCAATAATAGACAACCAACTGAACTCAAACTAGTTCCTCTTACTCTAGAGTGAATCAGTCATGACTTCAACAACAACAACAATTAAAACAAGCCTTTATCCCACTATGTGGGATCGGCTAACTAAATCTTTTTTCTCCACTGTGCCTGTTAAGAGTTAAATTCTCATTTAAATATAATAAAAAATGTTATTTCTAATATTTTTAACCAAGTCTTTTTAGGTCTACTTCTACCCTTAACATAAGTCAAATCTAATATCTCTACTTTCCTAACTGGGTCATCGAAATGCCGTCTTTTTATGTCCTTTCTTGGTTACAAATCGAATCATTCAAGACTTCATTGACTATATATTCTGTTTAGGTAAAAAGATATAATGGGTAGGTTAGGACAGGTTATGAGTCCAAGTACTTTATAGGTTCATAGCAGGTATTAGCTAGTCGATAGGTGCTTAATGGGTACTGTAATTCTATAAATACCCCCTCTTAAGAAAAATTAGCATATGCCAGAATGAATGAAACAAACATTGGTTTTCCTCTCTCTCTCTCTCTCTCTCTCTCCTCCAATGATAGTAGGACTTGCAGGCATCATAGAATTTCCAGTCTCTTCTCCCCCAATCCATTTCTAAAATTCTAAGCAAGCTCAAATTTTTCTTCTTTTTTTTTTCTGCATTTCACCGTTTAGTTCACAACATGTTCTTAATAATAAACTTGTATCTAACTGTATGGTTACTGAATTTGTATCCTTTTTGGTGACTACAGAAGCAAAGTTCTCTTCGATGTCTTCGAAAGCAGAAACTTCCAGCCATGAAGATCCAGTCTGCAACAGCATCAGTAGAATATCAGCTTCAGCTAACGCCCAGGTATCTCAGACTGTAAATTCATTTCCTGCTTCTTCAAACAGCCATTTTCCTGTAGCAAGAACTCAAACTCTAGAGAATGGAGACTTGAAACCAACGGTTGAGAGTTCTGATCATGTAGACAAGTAAATGAAGGCAAGAATGACGATAAAGTTTATTAGCCATTTATGTAGTTCATCTGTTCTGATAACCATTAAGGTGCTGTGAGAGCCTAATTATGACTGAGTCATTATTTGTGCCTTACCATTGTCATAAAAGTGAGCTGATTGACTCAGCTCAAAATTTTCACTGATAATGTTATATAATGTTGTTCACCCTTTCTGTTGTATTTTTTATTTATAATTTTCTTAATTAGTGCTACTTTTTCATTTTTCCTGAAATCCATTTTCATTACCAAAATTACATGAGTGCCCTTGAGTTGTTCTCTTCATTGTCTTTTTGTTATATATATATATATATATAGAGAGAGAGAGAGAGAGAGAGAGAGAGATTATTACGTGCAGAGATCAAACACAGAGAACAGTTTAGATTTGTCTCTGTGCACAGTAAAAGCGCAGTTCACTGTGCTTTTACTGTTCATAGAGACAAACCGGACAATTCTCTGCGTCCGATCTCTGCACGTAATAATTTGCTCTATTGATAGGATCAGCTTTATTTTTTTATCCTATGAAGATCCTTTTGGCCGGATTGGAGCCTATATGAAGAAAATATTCATTTCTACTAATTTTTTTAAATATTCTTATTTTTTAGCTCTAAAATTCAAATTAAGGCCCTTAATTTTCATCTCCATTGATGAAACTAATTGGACATAAACATGATTTGATTCTATGATTGTTTAATCTTTGCTTGGATATATAAATAATCTTTTTTAATGGATAGTACCAATAGTGTAGCTATAATTGAATGAAATTTTATGTGTGTGCATAGCTTCTATTTTGAATAAAATCAATGAATTTGATTTAAAAAAATCAAAATATTATATATTTTTGCATCATTATGTATGTTAATTCTCATTCTCTATAATATAAATAAAATTAGTGGCATTTATGATATTTATGATTTTTTAGATCATTTAATTATCAATTAAAAATAACAAATTTTGCTTAATAAACTTTTTCAATTGTATTTGAAAATAATTTTATTTTTTTATGTAATCTTTAAAACTTTTATAAAACATAATGTTAGCAATAAAAAGAGCCTATATAAATATCATAAAACATGAACATGTATAATAGATCAAATATGGCCCTTGACTTTACCCTTATCATTGAAGAATTATGATCAAAGTGATTCAAAACATGAAGCACCAAAAAAAATGTTTGACATTTTAAATAAGTATTATTTTTATTATTGATTGTATAAGACTTCGTTTGGGATAGCTTTCTGTTTAATGAAGTAGTTTTTACTAAAAAAATTTTAAGAAATTTTTTAACTAAAAAATTATTTCATAAAGCAGTAAGAAAGTTGCCCCAAACGAAGCCCAAGTTGGTGATTTCAATGGGCAATCATTTGCCATCGACGAGGATAAGTGGTGCTTGGGGTTGTTTCAATTTTTAAAATAAACTAGCTAAAAAATATCTAAAAGTTCTTTATAGAATTTTCAGAAATGCCTCAGTGAATTTTCAAAAATAAATAATAAAAAATATCTAAAAACAAAAATTTAATAAGCATTTAAAAAAAATAAAGAAAAAGAGATCTCAAATAATCCCTTATAATTTGAAAAATAATTTCAACTGATAGACTCTTTAATGAGGTTGTAAGAAAAAAAAAAATCTATTGCTTGTTCAAGAAAATAATAACCTAATATGGTAGATTGATACTCAAGATTAATTTTTATGAAATAGAATTAAGCTTACTTAAATTATCAAATATTATAGGAATATAAAAATTAAAATTAAAAAATTACCATCCCAATCAGGGATGGTTTTAAATTAATCTAATTAATAATTATCAAATTACTTATTTAGTTGTTAATTTAATAAGTATTTGATATATAATTATGTTCATAAACTCTAATAAAATAATTAATTATTTTATTGAATTTATTAATTATTTAACTAATACTTATATTAATGATTTAGACATTATTTAATTAATTTTAATTATTGATTATCTCATTGATCATAAATATTCTTCTACTAAATAATTATTTGTAGTAACACCCACCATCCTCGCCATCACAATTTACCATTTTGTCTCCAGTCAGTTGACTCGTCACTTGGAACCTTTATTAGGTCAAGACACCTAACGTAGCTCTACATTCGGACGCTAAAAAAATGTCGGCATGTGCCCTTACTCTTTATCGCGCGGCCTGACGACCCAACAGGAACCGGAACCCGGCATTGCTATGTTCGTGTATTTCTAGGTATTGCTAGATATTGCTTGGCAATAACGAGAAATACCGCTCTTTCAAGACCAATACCTAGCAAAACCGTGGTATTGCTCAGTATTGCTAGGTATTGGTTTTGATAGAATGGTATTTCTCGTTACCGAGCAATACCCTGGTCTGCATAAATCAGTTAATACATAGCAATACCGGTTTCCGGTCCGGGCCAGGTCGTCGGGCCGCACGGTAAAGAGTAAGGGCACGTGACGACATTTTATTGGCGTCCGGATGCAGAGCTATGTCAGGTGTCCTGACCGAATAAAAGTTCCGTCACTTGCCACAGTCAACCATTACCTGCTAGCCTCCCACCATTGTTGTTACATGATTTTACACTAATTAATTTTACTTTAAGTCAAACACCAAAAAATAATATTTTGTGTTTTTATTTTTTAGCCTTTTTTTTTTACAGTTAGGGGATTGAGCCCGAGTGAGATGAGAGGAATTTCTTCCGTCGACCACTCGGCCGCAGACCCGATCTCCTTTTTAGTGTATTCAATCAAATAACTTGAAAATGTTTTTAATACAATAAATTATTTTATGGTTTCATTTGGGACATCTTTCTTGCTACTTTTAAAGCAGTTTCTTAAAGAAGCAACAAGAAAGACGTCTCAAATGAAACCTATATTGTGTTTGCTTTTATAAGAATTATATATAGAATTTGTTTGATTGTATAATAATGATTTTAAATAATAGAATTATCATTAATTAAAATTTTATTAATGAAATTAGATTATCTGACAATGTAATAAAAGGTTAAAGGAGGTTGGTATTTAAAAAAAATTAAATTTTAAGTGTTTTGAATTTAATTTGAGTGTTAAGTAGGCATTGCTTATTAACTTCAAATTTAATTATTATTAATAAGTTATAATGATAAATAATATAATTAGAATCTAGCTTAATTATCAAATAATTTAATTACTTATTATGTTACTAATGATCAAATTACTTATTTAGATGTTAATTTAATAAATATTTGATATATAATTGTGTCAATAAACTCTAATTAATTAATTATTTATTTTATTGAATTTACTAATTATTTAATCGATACTCATATTAATGATTTAAATAATTATTTAAGCATTATTTAATTATTTTAATTATTAATTATCTCATTGATCATAACTATTCTACTACTAAATAATTATTTAATTATTATTACAATATAAAGTATATAATTAAGTGCTTATATTTCAAATTAAATTAATTAAACTAATTTTATGACCCTAGTTATTTAATTAGTCTAATTAATTATTAATATTTAAATTAAATTAATAATGCTAATTTAGATTAATTTTTAATTTAGGGGGCCGGCTAGGGTTTGCTTTTCATGTTCTTCGCGTGCTTGTTGCTGTCGCCTTTCCTCGTCGCCATTTCTTCGTGTCTGCTTCGGCTTCGTGTGAAATAGTTTTTGATAGAGTCGCTAAAGGAGCTTCTTCGCTTCTTTCGACGACGTCGGATCGGAAGTCACGACGGGAGCTCACTCGCTGCGAAGGCAACCATCTTTATACCTTTCGCGCGCTGAATTCCAGGATTTAGTAGATTCAGGATTTAGGTCAAAAATCGGTTAAAGGGGGATTTGACTCGCCGTGAGATGTATGGGAATCTCAAATCCCATTTGGCAGCAAAATATCCTGCTCAAATCCCGCATAAATCGCGTTGCCAAATAGCCCCAGGATTTGGCTTAAACCCAGCATTATTCTTACGTAGATCCTGCTTAAATTCAGCCTAGATTGAATTTGATTGTTTTGGAAATACTTAGCCGATTAGATTGTTTCCTCCGTTTTACACTTCTTTATCTTCCTTTTGCGCCATCATTTGTGCGATGACCCCATCTTCTCTGTGTATCGTTACTTCAATTCAACTGTTTCCGCTTAAATAAATCAGGTTTCATCAAATAGTCGACTTTTCCATTAATAAATCTGTAGATCTTCTTTGGATCGTGTCTGCTTTCCCATATATTTCTTTTGCAGGGTTTCATGTTTTGTTTCTCTCATGCTTTTTCTCATCTTTGCTTCTTTCCACTGAATTCTGGTTCTAATCATGCGGCATAATTCTTATTATTTTACTTTTTTCCCTTTCTCTCGATTTGCGCAGATGGATTGGCAAGGACAGAAGCTCGCAGAGAAGTTGATGGAGATATTTCTCGTAGCGTTTGCTATAGTGGCGTTTGTTGTGGGGTATTCTATAGGCTCCTTCCAGACTATGCTTCTGATCTATGCTGCTGGGGTGCTGTTGACGACACTGGTTACTGTGCCCAACTGGCCGTTCTTCAATCGCCACCCACTTAATTGGTTGGATCCCAGCGAGGTGGAACGCCATCCTAAGCCTCAGCCTACTGCAGCCCATTCTTCAAAGAAGAAGGCCACAAAGCAGAAGTAGTTCACATTACAGCTTTTGGTATTCAGTTGGTGTCTACTTGACCAAATTCTGTTTGAATGATTCTTAAGATCGACTGAACGCTTATGTCTGGTATATTTATCACTGCCTTTTTTTTGTAATCATCAGGTGAATGCTTTGCACAAAACAATTTATGACTTTGAAACATTTTCATTTCTCTTAGTAGAATTTAAAGGTTATTAAAAATGTAGCTAATCTGTTAGATGTTTATCTATTTATTTTTTTCAAGGAATGGTTGCTCATTAACTGTTTTTTGTTTGTTGAGCATGTCTTCAAATATTGTTGTGTATAGTTAACTAGCATAGTGCACTACAAATCTAGTGGGGGATTGTGACTTTGGGCAATCAAGTCATTAATAAGAGTACGTGTTTCAGATATCTTAGGTCTATTGTTCAAAGTGATGGTGAAATAAGTGAGGATATTATTAGTAGAATTCAAGTTGGATGGTTGAAGTTGAGGAATGCATCGGGCTTGTTGTGTAATAGAAAAGTTACCCTCAAACTTAAAGGAAAATTCTATAAGATGGTGGTGAGACCTGCGATGATTTATGATGCAAAGTGTTGGCCATTAAAAGAGAAGCATAGTATTAAGTTAAGTGTTGCAGAGATAAGGATGCTCAAGTGGATGAGTGGCTTTACTCTTAGAGATAGGATAGCATATACGTGAAAAGGTTGGAGTAGAATCTTTGGCACAAACATCATAGCTGATTTTATTTATTTATAATAGAAATGAACCTTTTAATGCTTCTTGATACTCCTCAGGTGCTTCGCTTTAATCCTACAAGCTATATGTTCATTTGTTTATGTATTCTTTTGTTTAATGTAACCAAACAATGTAAACTTTTACAAATAGGTATTACTATATCCTATAGCATTATTGCTGATCATTATCAATCTCACATCATAATGGGGTTTTGTGTAATAATCTTTGTTTCAACATCTTCTCTAATTAGCTGGGTAACTCATATTTGGCTTGGTATCCCCTACTTTTTGGAGTTCTCAAATCTCTGAATCTCCTAATGAAAGTAATAAGACTAGGTTCACTTCCTATGACTTATTTTTGACATCTGATGTGTGACTGGAGATTATTTGATCATGCATTCACTCTTCTTTCATCAATACTAATCATATTAACTCTTGTGCAATCGGAGGCCTTTTCATGGTTTAGAAAAATCATATATAGATTTTTTTTTTTGTTCATTAATTTTCTTTGGAAGAAAACCTCCAAAGTTTATGATTCAGGCATAGTTTATCCAATATTTATATCTTTTTATGTTGTCTTTCTTCATTCTCTCCCATAGCTTCAGATTATGACGATAAGTTTGGTTTCTCTTATCTTGCGTAACTTTTGGTATTCTCTTTGTTTATTAGAATTAGTATTTAAGTTTTTCTTCTTCAATTGCATATCCGTAATTTTCTAAGATCAGATCTTAATTGTTGGGATGAAGCTAATAATGTTGATGATAAATTAGGCATTCTTAAACTTAAAATTTTTTGCAACAAAATTTGTTAGTTATATTTTTCCATTATCTTCCATAGCTATCAAATCTAAATAGATATGTTGGGCCTGCTCTTTTTTTTAAATCTAACTTAATTTTACTTTTTCGATTAACCAATAACATATTTGATAATTTCTTTCATTATTTTGTTTATGCAACATTTCTTCTTCAAAATTTTATTTAGAAATTCTCTAAATAATATTTCATTTTTTTCTATCTTTAAATAATTATCATTGTCATTGCTAGGTCCCAAGGCTTGAATGAGATAAGTGAAGGGTTGTGTTAGACTGTTAGGTAGTCAACATCCAATGTAAAACTTGTCGAATAATCATGATATTAATCCTTTAATACATTGTGCTTGGGCGTTCCCTAGAAGCAACGTTCTGTATGGCTTGAATACAACGAGAAGTGTGTAAGGGCTGCTGCATCGGTATCTGGGTGCAGTGTTAAATAGGTAAGGGTTCCTACATCATGGATGGATGGGGGCAAAGAAGCTAGTCCATGAAGCTAGAATTCTAGGATCTTGGAATGTATGTTTTCTTACATGCAAATTAATGAATTAATTGATATTATGATTCAGAAGAAGATAAACGTTTTATACATTTAGGAAACTAAATGAGTTGGAGAGAAGGCTAAGAAGATTGATAGTTTAGGATTTAAACTTTGGTATTTTGATAGAAGTCGTATTAGAGATAATTTAGGTGTGATTATAAATAAGAGTTTAAAAGATAATGTTATAAAAATTGATAAAATTGGAGACAAAATTATAGCTTTGAAGATTATTGTTGATTCTAAGATTATTAATATTATAAGTACTTATGCTTCTCAAGTAGGTTTGGGTATGTGTTTAAAATTAAAATTTTGGAATGACTTAGAAGAATTAATTCAAACGATCTCTCTTTAAGAAAGAGTTTTTATTTGAGGAGGTTTAAATGAACATGTTGATAGAGAGGTAAAGGATTTAAAAATATTTATGGTGGCTATAAATTTGGAGCGACTAATGAAGTTATAAGACTATATTAAATTTTGCGAGCTTATGATTTTGTAATTGTTAATATGTTATTTAAGTGATGAGATGAGCATCTCATCACTTATAAGAATTGATATAGTAAAAATTAGATTGATTATTTCTAATAAGAAAAATAGATTGTTTAAATTGTAAAGATTGTAAAGTTATTTCAAGTGAAAGTTTATGTACCTAACATTGCTTATTAGTTTTGACTTTAAGATGAAGAGATAAAATATGAAAAATATTATAAAATGTTTTTCTAAAGATTAGGTGGGGCATTTAAAGCATACTAATAAAAATATTTTTGAGAGCAATATTCGAGATCTTAAGATTTTGTCTGTGCATGAGAAAATGAATGTTATGTGAGAAAAGTAACTAGTAATATTAAGAATGTTGTAAATGATATACTTGGAGTTTCAAAAAGGAAATCTCTTAAAAATAAAAATAGTTGAAGGTAGAATCAAAATGTGTAAGAAAAGATCAAAAATAAAAAGCTTTGTTATAATAATTGATTTAGATGTAAAAACTCTGAAAAATGGGAAAGATATAAAGAGGCTTGTAAGGTGTCTAATAAAAGAATCTGCGATGCAAATATTTTAACTTTTAATGATTTATATAATAGATTATATTCTAAAGAGGACGAAAGATATATGTATAAGTTAACCAAATAAAGAAATAGTAGTAAGGATTTAGTTTAAGTGAAGTGCATTAAGGATGAAGATAAAAAAATACATTTTTTAGAAGAGGATATTTAACAAAGGTGGATGAGATATTTTGTTAAGTTTTTCAATGAAGATTATGAGAATACGATCGACTTTAGTGACCTTAGCACTATAAATAAAAGTAAATATTTTTATTTTTATCGACGTGTTAGTAAAATTGAAGTTAAAAATACTTTAAAGAAAAACAAAGTGTGGAAAAACTCTTGGACCTGATGATATTCCAATAGACGTGTGGATATACTTAGGAGATGAAGGAATTTATTGGCTTAATAAACTTTTTAATATTATTTTGAAGACTTAAAAGATGCCAGCTGAGTGGATAATGAGTGTGTTGATTCCTATTTTTAAGAATAAAGGTAGTGCACAAGATTGTGTGAATTATAGAAGAATTAAGTTCATGTGTCATACTTTAAAACTTTAAGAGAGAGTTGTGGAGCATATGTTACGACGTGATACTAATGTTTCTCAAAATCAATTTGGATTCATGTCGGATAGGTCTACTGTGGAACTATTCATTTATTGAGAGGGTTGATGGAGAAGTTTAGAGAGAATAAGGAGGATCTACATACGATATTTATTGATTTAGAGAAAACATATGATAAAGTTTCAAGATAAATGATATGGAGAGTTCTAGAATAAAAGGGGTTAATAATTGCTTATATTCAAGTCATTAGGGATATGTATGCATGAGCTGTTATTTGTATTCAAACACAAGGTGTGGTTTGACCAAGTATTCTTCTATTTCAATCGGATTACGTCAAGGATCAGCCTTAAGCCCTTATCTTTTTGCTTTAGTCATGGATATTCTTACTAGACATTTGTCAGGTGTACCCAGGTGTATGCTTTTTGCTAATGATGTGTTTCTTGTTAATAAGAATAGAGAGAGAGTTGAAGGTAAAATTGAATTATGGAGGTCAACCTTAGAGTCTAAAGGTTTTCGTTTGAGTAGATCTAAAATCAAATACATGGAGTATAATTTTAGTAGTAATAGATCTAGTAGGGGGTTTGTGATTTTGAGCGATCAAGTTATTAATAAGTGTACTTGTTTTAGATATCTTGGGTATATCGCTCAATGTGACGGTGAAATAGATGGGGATATTATTAGTAGAATTCAAGTTGGATGGTTGAAATGGAGAAATGCTTCGGGTTTGCTTTGGGACCTGCATCAATTTTGTCGTACGACTTTATTTAAATAAATTAGCAGTCAGTTTTGAGTATTGATGTTGTTCCAAACTTAACTGCGAAGTTCGTTTTGTGATCAAATGTTGTTTTGGCAACATCGCGCGCCAATTTCATCGATTTGCGCACGTTGCTTCGAGATGCTTGTCGATCTTCTTGCACGGCTTTAATTGATCAAATTGATTGTCACTTTTGTGCATTGACAACGTTCTGAATACAACGATGAAGACCGTTTTGTGATCGGATGTCGTTTGGGCGGCGTCGCGCGTCAATTCCCTTGTTTTGTGCATCATCGCCTTGGGATTCCTGCCGTCTCTTCGAGTGATCCAAATTGAACAAGTTTATAATGCTTTTTGAGTGTTGACGATATTTCGGACGCAACGGCGAAATCCGTTTCATGATCAAACGTCATTTGGGCGATGTCGCGCGTCAATTTTGGGTGTCAGTCGTCCTCTTAAACCGATCTCGTCCAAATTGACTGTGAGGGGTCCCCTCCAAGGCAAGCTCGATGTTATGATTGCTATGGCACGACCCATTTAACAGTTGGAGGTTATTTGGTCTTTTAAGTGATGCACCGCGTCAACACGCGCATTGCTTGCTTAGATCATCTTTTTGCCTATTTTCTCGCGTTTTTATGTATAATACCCGAGCAAATTAAATAAGAATCTAAGTTAATTTGCTTCCATTCTGTGTTGGTTCTAGAATCCAAATTTAGAACATTTGCTTATTTGTTTCCAAATTTAGACCAATGTATTCCAAGGACATGATTATCTAATACCAACATATTGTTATGATCAGATAAAATATACATCCCAAAGTTAAGTTAAATAGAGATGATCATATGACATATACTATCAGTTATTCTTGAATCAAAATTAAACAAGCATAATTTTGACTCTATTTCATTATTGACTAGAAAAAAGTTGAGCCCCACCATCCACATTAACAGAAAGAGAAAATGATCAAAATGATCCTTTATAAAGGATCAAAATAGTCCTCAACTATATTAAAGGACTATTTTGATCTCTCAACTCCTTAAAGAGGAACCAAAATAGTTTCATTATGAGACTATTTTTGTTCCTCTTTAAGGAGTCGAGGGATCAAAATGTTCTATTAATATAGATGGAGACTATTTTGATCTTTTAGACAGAGTCAAGGGACTATTTGGTCCTTTTCTCTTATCAAAAATAATAATAATATTAAAATGTTGTCCATTTCATCTGACCACCATTTGCATTAGCAAAACAAGAGAAAAAAAGAAGCAATAATCTACCACTATTGTTCACTCCATTTAACTATTTGGCCATTCCAGCTAAATTTTAAACTCCTAAGTCAGGTTCGTTTTGGTTTTGAATTATCAACTATTAGAATCAGAAGCATTAGACCTATTATGAGCATTTTGGATTGATTTTTGGACGCCTTTACTAGAAAGCGATCAAAGACCCTTCAAGAAAATAAATGCAAGGTGCGGCTATTTAACATTTTGTAATGCATTGGAACTGTTGCGTGCGTGCAAATTAAAAATTCCTAGAAAATATGGTAAATTTTTAATTTTTCAATCTGTTTGATTTGATTTTATCTCATTAGTTTATTGTCAATTCCTTGGATTTGTTCTCTTTTCATCAATATATTCTGTCTGACATCCAATCTTTGATCAAATATTTCTATATAACTTGTTTTTATGACATTCTAGATGTTGAGATTGAGAGTTCGTTTGGGACGGCTTTTTTATTGCTTCTTAAATCAACTTTTTAGGTAATAAAAAGCTTTTTTAAGAAACTGTAAGAAAGCCGTCCCAAATGAAGCCTGAGTTTGTTATTAGAGAACATAGGTAACATCGCATGCACACAATTTGTGTATAATATACAACTTGTGTATAGACAACGTGACCTATTTTAATTGGAGTCCAAACGCATCCGGACTCCGCACAAAATAATTTCTCCTGCTATTGAGAGATATCTTGTTCGTTGATGAGACTTACTTACTTGTAATTCATGGATTATTTTACATGACTCACAAATTCTATTTGGGACGATTTTCTTTCTGCTTTCTAAAATAGCTTTTTAGTATAAAAATTTATAGTTCAAGAAAATTTTGTACCAGACAAGTGCTTTATAAAGCAATAAGAAAGTTGTACCGTTTGAGACAGCTTTCTTACTACTTTATGAAGTAGTTTTTTCGTATGAGCTTGAAATTTTTTAGCTAGAAATAGTGCTTTATAAAGCATAAGAAAGGCTTCGTTTGTGATGATTTTTGTATTGCTTCTTAAATAAGCTTTCCATTATAATTGTACTAGAATTTTACTTTAAGAAGCAGTAAAAAAATCATCCCAAATGAAATCCGGGATGACTTTTTTATTGCTTTCTAAAATAATTTTTTAGTACAAAAATTTCTTGAACTAAAATTTTCAATTTGAATAAGATTTTTAAAAAAATTGTTTTCTCAGCCAGTCAACTATAGTCTTTATTATGTATTACTAAAAGTAGTTTTTCAGAAATAATTAAAAGTAGTCTAATGTTGTTTGAACAGCTTCAGAAAGCAAACATATTGGGTGCATATTGTAAGTAAAGTAATTTTTTAAAGGAGTTTATGTAAATAAACAAATAAAAAATGGATTCTAAGTTCATAAAATAGACTTCTAAATAGATTGAATTGAGCTAACAATGATGATTATGAAAAACATAAGATGAATTTTTTAATTTAAATTTTAGAAGAATATATTTATTTTTTATTATCACATTATGCTCATGAAGATATAAACTCCAAAAATTTGATTTGAAGAATTTAGGAGAAAACATATTAAGGGAATTTACATATATACCATTTTATATCATATTATTTACATATCTAATATTTAAAATTTTAATATTTCATGCATATAGCTCATAAAATAAATATGAGTGCAACAAACAAAATATTAATGGAGATATAATTGATAAAAATGAATTTTTAGAGTGACATATTTGATATTAAAATTATCTATAGATGACAGTCATAAAATATTAAAGATTTGGGTGTTAGATATATAAATAGTATAATAAAAAAAGATACGTATATAAGTCCCACAAAATATAAATATGTGGGATTAAGAATGAATATGCCCTAACACAGATGAATTTTTGAGCTTGTTGGCACATATAAGCAAAGAGCATTTTTGCCGCATATCATAGATGCGCACGCCATGGTTATAATACAAAGGACTGTCATGGGTGTTGCGTGCGCATCTATGATATGCGGCAAAAATGCTCCTTGCTTCAAATGATATATACCAATCTCTTCTAATGACATTGGGAATGAAGTGTAAGTTGGATACCTTTTAGAGGGATCATGTCTTCATGCACCTTTCTCTCTTCCTAAGGTGGAACCCTTTGTGATGCAATTGTTGATGCAACTTCTCAATTGATTTATCTCAATGCTAGTGTGACTTCTAATCAATTGGTGGTTGAAAATACATTGGGCGAATACCCTTGGTGAGTACTTATGGCAAGAACTCCAAGTTGGTTGACTAGACTGTAGGGGAGAGCTCCTTTCGACGAATAACATTAATTAATGGGTGACTTTGTTGAGTCCCTCGGTCAAGTTCACCGACATAGTATTTTGGGTCGAGTTTAAGCTAACTCTTGGGCAACTTGTTTGAGATTCAAATGTAACATGAGGCTTTAGGTGACAACAAGTACTAATTCAATTTACTTATCAAGGAAACAGGTCAAATGAAAGATTGAAATGCATTGGTTGGAGATGAAAGTCCATAGGTTTGACATTGTAGTTTCTAATACAGCTTCTAAGAAAGGTACATTGGACAATATAAAACTTATCTACAATACTACTGACACAAGTAACTCTGATTTCGTTTGAGACGGCTTTCTTACTACTTCTTAAAGCAACTTTGTACTCCATTTCACTCACTTAGCAGAAGCAAACAACAACAATCTTATATATAAATACTACTGGTACAAATAACTCGGGTTTCATTTGGGACATCTTTATTACAGCTTCTTAAAGCAGCTTTTTACTCTATTTCACTTAGCAGAAGCAAACAACAACAATCTATAAATACTACTAGTACAAATAACTCATGTTTCATTTGGGACGGCTTTCTAACTGCTGCTTAAAGCAGCTTTTTATTCCATTTCACTCCCTTAGCAGAAGCAAACAACAACAATCTTTTATATAAATACTAATGATACAAATAACTTAGGTTTCGTTTAGGTCGGCTTTCTAACTACTTTCTAAAACAGCTTTTTACTCTATTTCACTTACTTAGCAGAAGCAAACAACAACAATCTATATATAAACTATTTTTTGCTATAAAATTTCCAGCAAATGAAACAAAGTTAGCAATATGATATTCAAATGATGCGACAATCCATTCCATTTGAAATATTCATGCATTGCTAAGGTGTCTGCAATTTTATTAGAAATATGCACAATAATAGAAAGACTGGCTTACTAGAAGTTGTGAAGCCCAATCAAGCGAATAAAACAACAATAATATCAAGCCTTTTATCCTATTATATGAATTATTTTTCTCCATTATGTCATATTAAGAATCAAATTCTTATTTAAATCTAAGAAAGAAATATCATTTCTAAGAAAATTGAACTCATATGCCGACGCCCTTCAAAATGTTCTTGAATTTCTCATTGGCTGCCACTAGCTCAGCTGCAATGCCATCTTCATTTGCAGAATGGCCAGCATCAGGTACAATCTGCTTTAACGTATAAACAGGTCAATAATCTCATGCTCCACATATGCTCAATCATATTTTAGCATTTAAGAAAATTCAGCTTTATATGAGGTTGAAAATAGTGAACTTGCTTGGTAAAATTGTTATGAAAATAAAGGCTAATCTCCCCTGCTAAAAACATTCACTACATCAAGCATTATGTAAGAGGTTTTACACAAGGTTATGAAAATCGGATCAGACAATGAACTAGAAGATGGAGAGATTCATGATTCGATGGTTCAATCGGGGTCGAATAGGGGTTAAACCGGATGACGTAATAAATACCAAAATAATTCAAATATAATATAAATTACATAATAATTAAAATTTTAACAAAAAATACATAACTATTTTTATTAAGGCTTAGTTTGGAATGGCTTTCTTTCTACTTCTTAAAATAGCTTTTTAGTTCAAAAATTTTAATTTTTTACTAGAAAACTGCTTTAAAAAGCAGAAATAAAGTCATCTCAAACGACCTAAAGCTCATGAACAAGCTTGATTAAAGCTCAACATAAAGCTTATTAATAAGTTGGAAAATTCCAATGCTGGGAGCAATGCAAACAACTGGTTGCAAGATAAATGATATATGAAGGAAATACCATTTTGTAAAATAATTTAAGGTCTTTCAATAACATCATAAGAAAAGTGAACTTTTCTACTAACTTTCCTTCAAAGTAAACAAGAAGAGAGAGGCTAACCTTCAACTCAGCCTCCGGCCATGCTTTGTGAAGATCCCAAGCAGACACCATAGGGCAACAAACATCATATCTTCCCTGTCAATTAACCCTTTCTTTAATACACAAAATTAAGTTGAACAACAAATTAGTTCGCAGATGATAACATAAAAAGATAACAGGCTGCAAAAGCATTATAACACAGGTATTTGCATGGAAAGTTCACTATATACAAGTCTGATAATCGTTTGATCCAGCAACGTTGAATACATAATAGAACTAATTCTTTTGTTTAAAAGAACCAAAATTGAGGTCGTGAAATAAATTAGAACTCACAGAAGAAAATGTCTATCATATCCATGGGCAGAACCATGCACATTTGTGGGTGGGCAAATAATAGTTTTAATAAATAAATAAGTGTCATTTGGTTAATTTTGCCCTTCATATTCTATTTTGCCAAGATTTTGGGGAAAAAAGCTCCAACCTTTTTGAGAATGTTACACTTTGACCAAGATTTTTTTTTTCTCTACATAGAAAATTTAAAAATATTCTTTTGACGTGATAGCATAAGAAAATTTATTATTTTGTAATTTAAAAGACTTGGTTAGAAAATATCAGAAATGATATTTATTTATTAGATTTAAATGAAAATATAACTTTTAATAAGACATAACATAGAAAAAGGATTCATGTAACCGACCCCACAGTCGATAAAAGCTTGATGTTGTTGTTGTTGGACTATTAATTTTCAACTTAATTTCAATAAATTGCAAAGTTATTAATAACCCCTTTAAAAAAATAGAGAAAATAAGTTGAGACAAAGCAATAACAAAAAGTTAAGATAAACCAGAAACACAAAATCTAAGACACTTATTTTCAAGTGTTGCATGAGGTGGGGCAATCAATTTGGTTTTAATAGATAATCTATCAAAATTGTTCATAATTTCTTGCCCTTTTTTTTAATATTTTCGTGTTCAGCTCAGTTAGTCAGTTCATATTAATGCTCAGGCTATAGATATTCTAAGATTCCCAATTATTTACATTAAATTTAGAGTTTTTCCTATGTTTAGGGTTTGGTAAATTGATCGATATTTGAAGATGAAAGAACGGGTAGAAATTTATAGTGAGAATCTTCCTAGTTGCCAGGGGCTTCAATATTCGATCTGGAGGTATGATATCAACGACGTGGATAGAATTCAAAAAATATATTTGAAACTAATAATGAAATATTATCAAAAAAATACAAAACTGGTTGAGAAGCTTGTAAGCATTCCTAAATTTCTCGATTATAATGAAATATAAAATTTTATCTTGAATTATGACTTATATAGATTTTTTTAATAATTAATTATTTATATAAAGAGCTGCCCACCTTTAAAAAAAAACTAGTTTCGCCCCTAATCATATCAAAGGCAGAAAAAAAAAGGTGCCGAATCTTCATAAACTTCATAAAAAGAAGCGACAGAAAACAAAATTAAGTGCTTGTACTTGCGAGGAAGGAGAAATAAACCTGCACAATAATAGTCTTAATATGCCGAATCTTATCAATATTATCCAAAAGATGTGAATCAGAAGGAAAAAACCCTTTGTTGAAAAAATAATGGCTTTCAATCCTAGCAAATGCCTGCATAAGTCAAACAAGAACATGATTACAGAAAGAGAAGAAACTATCAAATACATGAAGCAATTTAACATGAAAATTAAAATACATGATCATCTCAGACGCATATTCATTATAAGGTTTTAATTTGTCATGCAATGTGTCTCTTCTAGGTTCCATCGCAAATTATTTCAGAGGAATCTTGTTTGACATTGCATATTGACGGTTGAAATAGTAATCCTGCTTAGCAGTGGCAGCCATGGAGATACTCAAAGGTAAGTAATTAGAACATCAAGGAAGTTACAGATGCTTCAGTACATTTAGCAGCATTTAACGTAGAAAGAAATGTTGGCCCTTTCTGTAATGTTAAATAATATCTGTAACAACAATTGTTCAAGCAAATTTATGGCAAATAGCATAGCATTTTTACTGACATAGTTTTCCTTGAACAACAACGTGAAAATGCATACATCTCTGTTCACTGGGAAGAATATGTCTATTATATTCCCTTCTTTTTGGTGCAAAGGTGTAAATTAGTTCAAATATTAATAAAAGGTATTCTCCAATATTTTTTATGTCTCACTCTAAGCAAAACTTTGTAAGCCAGGTGATATAAAAATTAAAAATCTTGCCAGTTGCCTTCACAATGATTACTAGCATTTACCCTGTGTAATGCCTACTGCATAGAGCTCCCACTAATTTAGAGTTTGAGGTGGTCTATACACTCATTCTCTTATCGCAGCATTTGCAGAAGGCAACCATTGCTCGAGGCTATGCTCTTGTAAGATTATGATCAAGATAAAAATTTAACTATTTTTCCTACTATTGCTTAAAAGTAAAAGATAATTGAAAAAAAAAGAAGAAAGAATTATTTCATTGATAGGTGCAAAAGAATTATACCTTAAATGTTATCTAGCGAGCATATAGCAATAGGATTTTCTTTAATGTGCAAAATGAGAAAGTGTTCATGTCTAGTGGAATACAATATCAAGGAAATCAGTTTGATAGGAAAATTCCAACGCTTCTAAAAAAAGGAGTACGAAAATGATTGTACTCATTTGCTTTTAAATCAAGTTGAAGTGGAGGTCTAGTCACACTTTAAAATAAATTTTAGCCATATCATTAAATTGTTATGTTTTCATCAATGGGAATGCCATCAATGTTTAACACTTGATGATATTCTGCAGAGATAAAGCTAAGAGCTTAAAATTTTCTTCTCTCCCATACGGAATAATGTTAAAAGCCAGAAAACAAAAAAAAAATACAAACAGATAGCCAACCTTAACAAAGAAGCATAAGCACAAATAGGAAGCATACCAATGCAAAATGGTCATCAGTGCCTTTATTGATGGCCTCTTCATTTGGAATGAGATGTGCAGTTGTTAGTTCCCATGTTGACCAAATCTTGGCAGCCATTACCTGAATTAACCGTCAAACAACAAGATCAGTTCAACATTTGCTGCTTTTAAAAGTATTATGAAACCCTAAACACAAAATCTAATCAAAGATAATTCCTTGACTGCCCAAAAACGGTATAGCCACCTTCTTAAGGGAGTCTTCATTTTTTTAAAGCTATGGATCAGAGCCCTGCATTGGATACCCATACGCACACGCACTCATGCACCCACCCATACTCAATGGGAATGGGTATGCTCATGGCCTCGTGGGTGGGTATAGGTGGATACTCAACATCAGGGGACAAACCGATTTACATTACTAATCACCATATGCATGTAGTGTGTAGCACTGAACCGCGCCGCGACCACGATAAATTTTGATATGTGGCTTGAAAGTTTGTAGTAAGAGAAAAGGGCAACAAACCTCAAGGTCATTAATCCGTGACAGACTGCATTCAAGAAGCGTGGTTAGTGGGTGGGTGTGACATACCGAAAGTCACCATAGGTGGGCTTGGGTGGACAAAGTCCGATAACGTAGAGCGTGGGTACCCAATGGGTACCCAACCAGGACCCCATAGCTATTTCTATAAGTGTTTCATTATGAAATGCTCCAGGAGGAACTTTTTAACAACCAATCCAGAAACTTATTATGCCAATACTTATGCCATCTTATTCCCTTACCATTTATTTAAGCATTCCACTTAATGGCTTTTTTTTCTCTCACAGGCAATCAATCATCTCTATAATTACCCCTCCAAAGAAGGTGCCATCCACTTTATGACCCCATTTTTTAAAGGTTTGAATCCATTTCCATATGACTGGTTGATTATGGAAATGCTCTAGGAGGTATTTTTTAGCAATCCCTCCAGAAACTTATTATACAAATACTAATATCATCTTATCGCCTCACCATTTCTTCACCATTGCACTTAACAACTGTTTTTTCTCTCACATGAAATCAGTCATCTCTATATTTAACCAACCAAAGAAATAAGCAACTCAAAATTAAGGTTTCGTTTGGAACGGCTTTTTAATTACTTCTTAAAACAGCTTTCTAGTTTAAAAATTAAGATTTTTATACTAAAAACTGCTTTATGAAGCAGTAAGAAAGCTTTCCCAAACGAAGCCTAAATTAGCATAATCTTAAGCAAATTACTATGATCTCATCTCATCGCAACTTCCTCTGAAGGAACTTTACTCAATGATGTCCCTACTTAACATCAAAACAGATTTATAAGACATTGAAGCATGCAACAAGAAATGAACAAAACACAAGGAAGCTAACAAGAAATATAAGCATGACAATTTTATTAGTAAGAAACCTGCACTATGCGTGTTTATTTAATAAATTTTTTGCGCCATGTTGTTGGACTATAATATATTTGATCCATTAAGATAATAAATCAGCTAATAAAAATTACTGGCATTATATACGTTGAACCTTTAGCATATTTACAAAAATCCCTCAAACTTTGAGCGTCATATGATTAATGTACGGTAATATTCTTAAGCTATGATACTCTTAAGAAGCTAAGACAGCAGTTGCAGCAATCAATGTCATTCGTTGATGTTAGAATTCCCATAATTGGAGAGGGAAAAAGGATTCAATTCTTATTACACAAATTTATCCCTATTTATAGATCTATACAGTATATCTTAATAAAGAAACAAATAAATACAAAATTATTCAAAATTGCGCTAATATAATCCTTCCAAAGCAGCCACCTTAACATGGAAGGAGATTGAAGTAATCCAAGTGAGCCTCCCAAGAATCTCCATCCTTGGCCGTGGGATCAATGGTCAAAGGGATGGTTGGGATTTTAACACTCCCCCTCAAGCTAGGGAATATAAATCAGTCATTCCCAGCTTGATAATTAATCCATTAGACTTATCAAGTCCCTTAGTGTGCCATAGTCTTTCATTTGGTCAAAAACTATGGGAGAATTATCTTCAATGACAAATAATAGCGATGAAGGCTATATCAATCAAGCCTGTAAGGGAAGCAATGAAGGCCCCGGAAATGACAATAACGGCCGGTAGTAGGACAACATAGGTGGTGGATTAATTATCCTTTAGGTCTGTTTCCTCGGTTCTCAAGGGAAGGTCGACAATATATGTCAAAATTCTGGCAATGAAGGCCGGAGGTGGGAACCTGCATTCCTCATAATTCCAGCAATGTAGGCTGGTGGACCGGTGGTGGGAATTTTGTATTCCTCAGGTTTCCAGCAATGAAGGTTGTATTGTGATATAGTAGCAATAAAGGCTGATTTGATCGGGAATAAAGGCTGATTTGATCATGTCAGCAATAAAGACTGATTTGCTTGTATCAACAATAAAGGCTGATTTGATTATGTCAGCAATAAAGGCTGATTTGATTATGTTAGCAATAAAGGCTGATATTGGGTCTTAATCAGATTTGATTTAAGACTTTTTTTTTTCTCAAATCTCCTGGTTTAATAAACTGAATCGAGCTGAGTTTTAAAAACTCGAATCGAGTAGCAGGTATAGCGCATGCATGAGTAGCTCTTGTCTCCGTCCCGAACAGCTCCTGTTTTTGGCGTCGGCATGAAAGCAGTGTCGGCGGCTCCTTGCGGCTGACTGGATTCCTTGCATTGTGCGGATAAGGAGTTTGCTATCCTCTTCTTCCGCAACCTTCTGCACACACACGAGTTGGCTCGCAATTAGGCGGCTCCTTCCCGCAAGGCCTTGTTGTTTCCTTCCTTTGGCTCCTTCTTGTAGGAGGTTCGCTCGGCCCGTCCATCTCGCAAAGTTTTGGATTCTGTCGGCTGCTCCATCCCGTGAGACCTAGACTTCGGCTTTGGCTCCGTCCGGTAGGTCTTCATCGTCCGCTAGGCTTCAGGCTCCATCGGCTGCTCGACTACGCTCCTTCGACAACATCTCCCTTCTGTCGGAATTGGAAGTTACGATACTTGGATCGGTTCCTTCGTGGTTGTTTGACCGTTCGCAGGTAGTGCGAGAGTTGGATAGAGCTCCATAGCCCTGCTCCCGTTCCGCCTAGTGCTACCTCCTAGTGCCGATTCCACCTGGATGTTCGACTCCCCCTGGTGCCGACTTCGCCTGCTTGCGTTCGTCTGAGTTAGAGGCAACGTTGGCGGCGTCTAGCAGCTCTGATTTCTTCTTCTTTTTCTTTTCCTCATCCGATGATTCTACGATCGTTCTTCAATCGGCAATGAAGGCCATTGACTCTGATACCATGTTAGAATTCACATAATTGGAGAGGGAAAAAGGATTCAATTCTTATTACACAAATTTATCCCTATTTATAGATCTATACAGGATATCTTAATAAAGAAACAAATAAATACAAAATTATTTATAATTGCGCTAATATAATCCTTCATAAAGCAGCCACCTGAATATGGAAGGAGATTGACGTAATCCAAGTGAGCCTCCCATGGATCTCCATCCTTGGCCGTGGGATCAAGGGTCAAAGGGATGGTTGGGATTTTAACAGTTGATAGTCATCAGTAGTTATAGTGATTAATTAACCTCCGCTGACTCATCCATTAATAAGGCAGCGGAAATAATACATATATTACTAAGTATTATTAATATATTTTGATATTAAATTATGATATAATATGGTATATCTTATAATATCGTTAAACTGAGCGGAGCGGAATCGAGGCGAGGTGCGGGATTCGTGGGAGGCGACGCGAACGGCGCCGAATCGGCGAGACTTCGGCAAGATTCGAGGATCCGGTGGGTAAGAGGTATGTATGTGATGCTCTTTGGTCTTTACGTGGAGGTCAACATTCATTAAAACCCGGCTCTTTAACTCTAATAATTTTAACGAGACGACTCATGAGCTGACAAGTAGAGTTGGGGCTTGCTCAACCTTGACTTTTTAGCTCATCAAGCTAAGCTTGTGTGTCATTTATTGGGTCGTGCCTGAGCCGGCTTAACTCAGTTACACCCCTAATAGGAATGGTTGAATGGGAACTTGGGAAGGAAGTGATTTTAATTTTTTTTGCCAATTTAAGGCAAACAATTTAGGTGGGGTTTTGAATTTGGAATAATATTTTAAAGGAAAAAACTTGATAAAGACATGCAAAGAGAAGAGCGATTCTCTATCTTAGGATTACAATAGTGAATATAGATTGCAGTCAATGAAGTAACAATCTCTTTCCTTTTATTTTTCAGGGTATAGCTATGCTAGAAAGAAAAAGGCCACATGTGTTTTAGTTTGACATGAAAGAGAGATGGACAATACTGGAATTCAAGTTGGGTTGTAGTTAAAAAACTTTAAAATCCATGCAAATTCATGGAGATGGTGATAATAGAAGACAATTTTAGTTTATCAGTATAAGATTATTCAGGATTAGTTTTTATTAGAGATGTTAAAAATTTAAAATTTAGTAAAATGAATTATAAATGAAATAAACTAACTCGGAATGCCAATAAGCCAGATATTTCTCATCAATGCTAGCCGACAAAAAATATGTATTGAGATATGCAACAACAACAACAACAACAACATCATCAAGCCTTTCTCCCAGGGCCGGCCATGCTTGATATATGGATGAAATAAATTCAAAATTACAATGATATGCTATATCTTGCTTCTCTGGCATCATTTCCTAGTGTTCTTCTATTTCCATAGACAAAGAAAACTTCCATGGAATGTCTAGGCAAAGGAGATGTAAAACTTTATTACCTCTTCCATTCTTTACACTTGCTAGAATTTATATAGAAAATAATAGATGTTACATATAACACAAGAAATTCTCAACAACTGCATATTAGTCGACATGAAATTTCCCTTTTATGACAAATTTAGGCATTACATTAAAATGCCATTTTCCTTGAGCAACTATAGTCTAAAGGGTACATAGCTCACAGGTGGCCACTCCTCGTCAGTTCTATGCCATGATATTAGCTAAAAGTAAGATTTATGTTCAATCTTTTTCTTCTCTAAAGTATGTAATTCGTGGCTACTTTTAACGGCTACTGCAACCATGCAATCAATTTTCCCTGAAGGTACATATTAATAAAAGCTCGAACATCTCTTCGGCTCCCAAAATCAGAAGTATATTTATATGTTGCTCTCTAGCTCTAAGTTGTCAGCAAGTAAAAATCCAGATTACACAGATGTAAAAGCGGCAAAATATAATTTCCTAGTGATTGGGGCACCATAAAAATACCTTTGTATGAGTATCATCGGAAGTTAGCCTTTTGTGATAAGCATCAATGAAACAGCCCCTTTCGCTTTCAGGAATGAAATCTCTGAAGGGCTCCCATGCTGAAATTTCAGATTAAAGTAATGACTTCTTTCAACAAAGAACTCAGTTAAGGGCAAATAAAAGAAATCCTGCTGAGCATAATTCTCACATTAATCACTTGACTTAACTTAAACCTAATATTTTAGCACATTTTCTTAAAAACTTTTCATGAAATATAGCATAATATATCTAACTTCTTGCCTATCAAACTGATAACCTGTGCCATGATACATTGAAGCGGCCCACCGAAAATTGTAAAATCCTAAACAACTAATGAATTGTTTGAATGCATAACCAATGCATAAGAATGAAACTGATAGGAACACCCAAACACACACAAAAAGACGATGAATAACAGAAAAAAAAAATATTTATTACTGCAAACATTTAGAAGACATTATTTTAAGAAAAACTATGACCGATGCGGAAATTTTAAAGATTGTATTTTAAGCAGATCCCAATAAAACAAAACCAAAGTTTAATGACTATAATGCCTGTTACTATAGCTAAGCGAAGATAATAGTACTATTTTACTAGCTCCAAGAGCAATAAGAAAATAATTGCATACCATCTGGGAAGATGGTAGCAGCACCACCCTCATAGAACCAATCAAGCTCCTTCTTCCTCAATAAAAATATTCCTCTAAGAATTAGGCCAGTGACCTGAAATTATCTTAGAAAACTTCAGCAATCACCACTAAAATAAACTTAGAACTAGGCAGAGAAAAAAGATTTAATGAGACTTGGTAGATGGGTTCATTATTCAGGGTGTTAACAAAAGGAAGATTTTCACAGGTATATAACAGGTTATTTGGAAATAAAGGAAAGATGGACGGCAATGATGAGAGGAGAGTAAATGTGTACTTTGTCAGGATGCTTTTGACTGTATGCAAGTGCCAGAGTGCTTCCCCAAGATCCACCAAAAACCTGAATCATAATTCATTAGTATCTCTATCAAATAAGGCACAGCAAAAGAATCCATGAAAAAAAATAAAAAATAAAAGAATACCTGCCATTCTGAAATCTGCAAGTGTTCCCTAAGCAGTTCAATGTCATTAACCAAGTCCCAGGTCGTGTTTTCCTCTAAACAAGCGTGTGGTGTGCTTTTTCCTGCACCTCGCTGGCATATTTTTCTAACTAGTTATTCTAGAATATTTTATGGTCAAAGAAAAAAAAAAGACGAGATAAAAGTAATACCTGGTCGAATAAAATAATTCTATAAAATTCAGGATCAAAGAACTGTCTATTGCTTGCAGAAGTTCCACCTCCTGGTCCCCCGTGAAGAAAAACAACTGGCTGGAAAGAGACACAGTTAGGTAGATGAAACCATAAATATGCAGAATTACATGATAATTACATTATTGTCCACAAAAAATTAACTTCATTTTTTTCTCAAAGACAAGTTGCAAGATAGCATATCTAACACTAGAAACTTGTAAAACAAATAAATAGATTCTTCTTAGTTTTCCATTATATAACTTTCTTTTGCAGGCAATTTATTTCAGTATGAAGAACAAATTTTCTTAAGGAACGCATTCAATATTAAACTTAGAGACTGGCACTAGATTATGGTGACTGTTGTACGACTCAATAAACGATAGGACATTATGAACAAGTATGAACTTTGAAAATTCTTTAGGTCTAATCCACTTATTTCTTGGATTATGCTTCAATCGGTATAACATAATAAACCAAAGACTGCTATTTATTTTTATAGAAGTATTAGAGATATATATATATAATAATTATCATAATAGCTACTACTTCATCAGAGAAGTATGGTAATTCAGATGAAGTAGGTTCTGGTTCATCGTTATCTTGCTTAAAGAATAGATAGTTCCATAGAAAAATGATCAACAGTGAAAGCATCCGCTATAAAAGCTATATGGATTACCTGAATCTACAATAGTACGGCTAATTATATAATATCAATCTGGAAGATAGCAGCAAATCCAACTCTAATGTTGTCTAGAATAGCTGTCCCTGCATATTGTTTAAGCAGCAAATCCAATTTGAAAACTATATGAATTACCTCACCTTCCTTTATTTTTAAGCAAGCATGGGAAGTTCCGCTAGCAGTGAAAAATAGAAGCGTTTGCGAATAGATCATAACATGTTACTTTCTAAGAAGGACTGCATATAAAAAATGAGTCGGATTTAGATTTAAATCCTTACATGCCCTGATGGATTTCCGGACTGTTCCCAGTATAGTGTATGGACATCTGAGACCTTCAGAAATCCTGAACTGTATGGTTCTATTTGCGAATAAAGGCTCCTAATTAACTCTTGAGGTTCCTTTGACAATTCCATCAATCTTCCAAGTTGCTGACTCAATGAAGAATGCGGATTTTCAGTGCCTAAATGGGAGTTATGGTTGCCTGCAACTGGGTAATGGATTTGAACTAAATTTCAAAAAAGGTAGAGCAAGAAATGAGAAAATAGATGCACACATATACCCATCATGATTTCAAAAAGAAAAATGCTATACTCCCCAAATAGATCCACTTGTAAGGAAAATTTTTTGGTTAGGTAAGGATATCCTAACCAAAAATTTGTTCTGAATGACTTCTAAAATATTTGGATTTATTTTGAGATAAGTATAATATACAAACTGATTGATTATTTATATATTACAATCATCTCAAACTAAATATAAGGTTTAAATCCATCATAACTAAATTTTAGTAAGGATATCCATACCCAATTTTTCTCCCACTAGTCAAATTGTGCCACAACAACCACTTATGTGATAACCTTCTAAATTGACAAATCAATATGTAGGTCCTCATACTTAGCATCAAACTCTGGGTTTTTCACACATCCCAAAATAAGGTACTTCCTCCAGTTATAAGATATTTCACATGGAATAATGTATTTCATTTGTAAACAAGTTGTTTAACCTGAACATAAACACTAGTTATTTCAATATGTTACCATATACTGGGTGAAGCATCTTATTTTCAAATGAAATGCCTCATTTCTAAGTGAAATATTCTATTTTTTAGTTTAAAAAACATGTACCTGAACTGAAATGCCTTACAATTAAAGTTGGATTTTGAATTAATTTGTTCAATTTGAAAGGTGTCATATTCACTGCGATATTGGCATGGCGCCAATGCAATTTTGCAGTTTTCAAAGAGCGAGAGGCTCGAGTTCAAACTGATTGCTAATCCTACAAATTTTTATATAAAAAAAGTACAATGAATTCTCATATATACCATAGAATATCTATATATTTATATATCTAACACAAAAATATTTATACTTATCTAACATCTTAGTTTTTAAATGACATCAAGATATAAACATAAAAAGATATATTTCACATGTTTATGATCTTTCTTATGTCATTTTGACACTAAAGTGTTACATAAGTAAATCTAAGATTATTGAGTCAGATATGTAAATACATAGAAATTCCTGGTATGTTGTAAGTACACTCCCCCACCCAAAAAAAAAAAATCTTTAAGGGAAATAAGTCATCACTAGATTTATTCCTATAAAAAGGAGACATTCAAAAAAAAATTATCTCGTTCAGTAGACAAAATATCACAATTTGACGAATACTTAAAAAAACAACAGAAAAAAAAAATCATACGAGTACAATTCAGACAAAGTCTCCTCCCCATTTCACAGATAAAACGATAAAAACCTGGAGTTTCAGGAAATTACCCTAAGTCTCCTATTTCTAGCTATTCTAGAAATCATAATGCTCACATGTGGTAGGTACACTATATTTTCTTACTTAGAGGTCTCAAACATCAATCATAGTGGATATCTATGATAAATTTCTCCATATATTTATAATCATCTTACATAATATTTACTTAGAGGCCATGTAAATTTAATATTTATAATCATCTTTGTGATGATCTAATATATGTACTGATCTTTGCAGGCATGATTAAAATATAGAATAAATTTCTATCTTTTTTAAAGAAGAATTAAATACTGCTAAAGCCCCAGGAAATTTGCAAGGCCTAAAAGCAAAGCAACTTCCTTTCTCCAACGCTTCAATTCTCAACTACAGATCCATCGTCTCACCATCAAATCCATACAATTCCTCATCGCATGCACGAATTCGTCTAACTAGCCCTATCTGTCCCTCTAGGGATCAAGATAATCGGTTCGAGTCAGAAAGAGTGGAAGGGGAATGCGTACCTGGAAGAATGGAGCCGAAGCGAACTGGACGAGGGGCGAGGAAGGAGAGAGGAGGGCGGAGAAAGGAGAGAGGTTTGTGGCTTTGATGCAGAAGAGAAGAGAGTGAGCCCGCTCTGCCGTAGCTCGCCGAGGGAAGGCTTAGCCTTCTGGTTATGGTCATTTGGGTCATTTGGATAAGTTATTAGCTGGCTTTATGTGTTTTATTTTTTGGCCTCATCGACCAATTCAAAACTAATACTAATAATAAAGTAATGATAATAATAATAAATTTATATAGATAATAATATAATATCTAAATTTTTATATTTACATATATATTATTTTAATTTTGAAATTACATTAATGGACATGCATTGAATAGAGGAATTAATAAATGACATGGTCCGTCAACCTGACAAAAAAAATTCCGGATTTGGATTGATCCATGTAATAAATGGTTCAAGTTTGAGTTTAGAATTTTGACTTGTTTATTAGGGCATCTCCAACCGTAAATCTCATTTTTCACTCCAAAATGCTGTGAAACTAAAAAATGCAGTGATTCATCTCCAATCGAACTCTATTTTGCCCCCTTTTGCGAAGGTAATGTTTTTTCTCTTCTTTTGCGCGTTTCTTCGGCAAGTTCGATAGAGACAGGAAAATAGCAAGGATGAACAGTGCAACGCCAATATTGGCGTCCCACTGTTCACCCGCAACCAAATAGCGGAAGTTTTATCATTCGACTGGAGCTCACGCGCGACGCCATTCAAGCTTTTGAAGTTCAGTCGGAGATGCCCTTAAACAGGTTAGGATCACAGGTTAACTCAAACCTGATTGTGACCTACAAATTACTTATTTATTATTTTTATTTGTTGGTGTTATCTTATTTTTTATTAAATAAAAAATTATATATTTGATAAATTAAAAAAAAAAAACAAAAAACTAAATAGGTTAACAGATCAGTTCGGATCATTCACTTAATAGGTCATGTTCGGGTCTATCTTTTTTATCCTATCATTAAATGAGATGTGTTCAGGTTGACTGTATTCAAATCAGATCAATTTTGAGTCAAACTTGAATCATACACGCAATACATGTTGACCCCTCTAGCATTGAAAGATGTGTTTTATTTTAAGCATGTTAATATTAATAATATTTTTATATGATATAGAAACTTGAGTGTCATATTACTTAATAGAAATTTTTTGCCATTGAATATGTAAATATATAAAAATTTTATAACACTTAAGTAAATCTACCTAATATTTATTAAAATAATATTAATAAAGATTTTTCATGACACATATACCATATGTTTTCAATATTATATTACATAATATGGTGATTTTTTTATGACTATTTTTTTAAATTTCATTCATATGTCATGCATATTTTACTAGTTCATATTTGTGTTGCATGTCTCTTATTTTTAAAATGAATATTTTATCAGTTAATTTATAGTAATAACATAGGGTGACGATAGGCGTACGGGCGGTGGTGCGACGACGGTCAATGGACAAATGGTGGCCCGGCGACAGTCAGCGACTATTCGGTGGTCCAGCAGTGGTCAAAGAAAATTCGTCTGCGGTGATGCTTGGGTAGAACTCTATAATCCTTGAAGCCTTAAAGCTCTATCCAACCTACAGCCAAAGGAGCCCTTCATGAAGAGAGTATACGCCTATTTATAGATTTATTTTGAGTGACATACTCCATAAAAATGAAGAAAATCTAGGATAATTTTGGAGTACTCCATCAAACGCCTCATATTGATTCTTTTAATTATAGAGCATTCATTCAACATGTAATTACCTTATTGATGTCAAAATTAAGCATTCTTGGGCTCGTTGGATTTTTCTCGTCGAGCCGCTTGATTTGACTATAAACATACTATATTTGAATATCATTTGGTTATCTGATTTATATTTTGAACATTCTAAATGTGCTTCGGTCCTCATATTTGGACACATTTGGGCTTGAATTAAACCGATTTTGGTGTCGTTGGGTTTGTGTCTTCGAGACATTCAATTTGACTATAAGTTTGCTAAAATTGGAGTTTGGATGGCTCCAAATTTAATTTTGGGAGTTATCAACTCATATATGCTTTGAGATTCATCTGGTCAAAATGATTTTTGATGACGTATCAATTTTTAACTTAATTAACTTTAATTACTTGAATTTTTTCATGATGGCTATTACAACATTACTATTATAGTACATTCCCTATCATTTGAACACCATGGTTTGACTATTGTCCCTTGACCACTATCATTCAAATTATCATTATTTAACTATTACTACTAGGGCTTTCAAAAATCGGGTCATGGGTCAGGTTCGATCAAACCCAGAATTTATCCAACACATATTGACCGGACTCGAACCATTTTTTAAAATGTGACATTTTTCTTTGACACGAATCCGACCTGCTTTAGATCGGGGTCAATTCGTCATGACTCGCCAACCCGTCGTTGTCTCACCGGAAGGAACATCGTTAAAGGAGGTGTTTCTTGCTGGCGAGTCAGCACTCGACAGCTTACCGACGGGCGTCGAAGGATGTGTTGATTTTGCAGACGAATATCATCGGGCAGGGTGGGGTCGTGCGGAGAGGCGGACGATGAGGCCGCGGGAGAGACGGAAAGCGGCGGGACGACAACAGTAGTCAGCGACACTAGAAGAAATCGTCTTGTTTAAATTTAAATCAGCTAGAGGTCAGGACGACGATAGTGGCACTCGACGAGATGTGATCACATGACTCACGTTAGATGCGAACACTCGATGAGACGACAAAAATGTTGACAGGACGGCGGCAGTGCGAACGAGATAGCAAAGGTCAACGCGAACATGACTCGCACACAAATTTCCCAGGGTAAACCTGGTTGAGTTCGGGTTTCTGAGTCAATCTGAACCAGACCTATTTTTTCAAACAGCTCGAATCCGGGAACCCAAACTCGACCCGTTTGCAAAACGGGTTGACCCTAACCAGAAATTTTCGAGTATAGTTCAAGTTAGATTTTCGAGTCGTGTCAAATATTGACACTCCTAATCACTACCTTGTTATTGTATTATATTCTTTATCATATGATTAATATCATGTGACAACCGTCATTTAATTTCGACTAACATCTTTCTCTATCATCTTCTTTGCTTCATTGCTTCTCCAACAATCTTTGCTAAATCTATAGTAGACCTTCTATATGCTCACAATTTTGTAATCCTTTGTCTCTAATTATAGAGAAGAGAGTACTTTGGTAGCTTTAAGTTTATAGTGAATTATTTCAACTGGGTTAGGCATCATGATTTTTTTCTTTATTGATCTCTTACACGAAAATTATAGTCTATGTATTCTTCTATTTTATCTACATGTGTACCGACTCTTTTTACAAAGCTACAAAGTAAACTCTTTCTCTATCGTTGCAAATATTCTAACACACAACAATGCTGAAGGGAATGATAAGATTAATCCAAGTTGAAAATTAATAAGAAAAAGTTGCAACTCTCAACATACATGGAAGAGTAGCATGCCTAAGGCCTCGTATGTTTCGGCACTTTTTTTAACTTTTCTGTTTAAAAATGGAGAAAATTTTTTTGGGATTGTTTGGATGAGACATGTCTATGAAAATGCATTTTAGGGAACTTCATTTTTCTATTGTTTTCATAAGTATTTTGATATTTGCTTCTCCATTAAAAAACTTCATTTCCTTAACCATTGCTTCTAAAATTACCTTTTACAGAAAGAGAGGAAGAACCAAACGAAGCCTAAGTGGTTTTTGTTAACCCTTCAAAACAAATCTTTTTAGCGATTTTTAGAGCGCCCTAAGAATATCAATATGATATAAAAATTCTAAAAACTATATAAAAAATTATAAAAACTATAAAACTTCTAATACAAGAGATGATAAAAATATTAATTTTTTATTATATTTGATATATCATTAAAAATTATCTTGATCGGGCACGAATCTCGAGGCAAAAATCTAGTTGGAAACTTCAAAAATTAAATCCGGGATCAATTGAACTCCGATTTCAGTAAACTTACAGTCGAACTGATCGTCTCGGAAGTACAAAGCCAACGACATCAAATTCAACTCAATCCGAGCCCAAATGAGTCCAAATCAAGGACTCGAAGCGTTGTTGGTAGTTTTGAACCACAATTTGAGTTACCAAACGATTTCTAAACATGATGTGCTTATAGTCGAATCGAGCGACTCGATGAGACGAATCCAACGAGCCCAAGATTGCCAAATTCCGACATCATTAAGACCTTCAAATGTCTGATGAATGGTACATGATCAAGGGATTCAATATCGGCCATCCATCAAACCACTCTACATTTGCTCCTAATCTCTCATCTATTTATGGGTCATGCCACTCCAGAAATCTATAAATAGACCCCCCATTTCTCTTTAAAGGGGACCCAAGCAAGAAGAGAAGGAAGAAGAGAATGCAAAAGAGAAGATTATGAGGGAAGAAACTCCTCATCGACCACCGCCGTTGGAATTATTCCTAACTTCCGAATGACATCAGAATTCTGCCCGACTTCCAAGTGACACCGGAATTCCGCCCGACTTTCCAGTGACGTCAGAACTCTGCCCGATCTCCAAAGGACTCTGGAGTTTTGCTCGAATATCATCTAACATCGGAGTTCTCCCCGGCCGCCGACTGAATTCAGACTTCTACCTAACAACGGACCTCCGCTTGTCGCCAAATTTCTACATGACACTGGACTTCTGCCAGTTGTCAGGTTTTCGTCGGATAACTATCCAATGTGGGATTTCTATCCATATATGGATTTCTACCTGACGCTGTCCTTATGATCTCCATCATCAGATAGCGGTCCTTTTGACTTACGTCGTCCACCGACTACAGTCCTTCAGACCAAACAAATACATCATCAGTGATTCTTTATATTCTCATCATGTAATGTACTCTATAAGATGTACATCAAGTTAAAACCTTCCCCCAAGGAAGGGCCTAATTTGTAATCAACTGCAATACTAGTGGATTCATTCAAACTATGCTAGGTCCCGTGATTTTTTCCTCTCTTCTGGAGTTTTTCACGTAAAAATCATAGTGTTATTTCATTTCCTGTTTGCGTGCTAGATCTTCGTACAAAACTAAGATGTCATGTTTTATATTTCTCTACCGTCGTGGATACTCCAGGACGCAACAATATTCATAAAAATTTAGATGAAATTTAATAAAATAAAATCTTGCGTGGACACAAACTTAAAGCCCCTTTCGTTCACTTATCTTATAAATTATCATCAAAAATTTTATATCAAATCTTATCTATATATAACTTAATATTTTTTTTTTTCATTCAACGTTGAAGAAAAGGGTCCGCTTTTTTCGCGCTTAACGCTCAAGCTACCAACAAAAGAAATCTGCTCTGATCCGTCTCGCCTGTCCAAATCTCTTTTTATAAGAATATCTTAGTACCCCATGGCTACTCTTTACTGGCACTCCTTTACTCTGTTACTTCAGCCAATGCTCTCAAATCTACCCTTCACCGCATACCCATTATTCACCTGCCGGCAACCATGGCAGAGATTTATGAGGCCTGACTCTGATATGTGATGGGAATAGCTAAAAGGCCGACTCATTCAATTCATCTGGAAGACTGGTTACTTCTCGAGTCCATGCGGCAGAGGAGAAAGTTCTGATTGCCTGAAAAAAAAAAAAAGTGCTTTTCCTCGTAAATGTATCTGGTTTCTTCTCATAGTTTCTCGAGTCACGAAGCTCCAGATTCATGGCGCTTATGATTACCAACGGTGCCAAGGTATTTTTACTCTTTGTTTTCTCTGGGGATTTAGAGGAAAGATGAAATTTTGCTGAAGATTTTTTCCGTGAAAAATAAGTTAACGTATTTTCTGATAGAATGTTTGTTTTCTTTGATTTTCTTCAAACAGTGAGCTTTGGTTGGGGCTCGATTTATAGTTTTTTTTTTTACATCCCGCTTTCATTTTATGTAAGCATTGTTGGCTTCTCGAAGTAGAGCTGGCAGTTGGAAAAGATTGTCACGTGGTTTCTTCTTCTAGGGTTTGCTGATTCAATAGGGCTGGTTTGGGGTACAAGTAGGGTTCAACTCAGTAAATCTCAAGCGAGTTGAAAACCTGAAAATTGTTTGATTATTTGTTTTGGGATTTACTGTTTGTGAGTGGGGGAAATACTTATTTATCAAAACAGTAAGATCTAAAGCATGAAAAAATCTGTTTTGCAAGATTGAGGGGCTGTTTGGTATCGGATTTGAAGCCAGATTTACAGTAAATCCTGCCAAACAGCTTTCGAGCGCGCAATAAATCCGAATCCCGCGTAAATCCCGCCAAAACTCTCCTGCGACGCCCGTGTCATCGAGTACCTACGATGCCCTTATCTACAATAACAATGGGTTTGTATCACTCACGTTTTTTAAGCACAATAACTAGATTAGACCACTGTTCATTCTTCAAATTACCATTACAAATTTTCCTGAATAAGAATTGCTCCAATAGGAGCTTTCTTAATACAAGGTTATGCTCTTCCGATCAGTTAGGATTTTGGATCGTGCTTTTTGGTTGGCCGATTTGAATGAAGATGTCTTCATCTAGGCGGTGTTGGGTACTAGAACTTCCACGAACAAAAGCTTTTCCTTTTAAAAAGTTCTCATTTTTGTTAGGGATGTCAAAATTAGGATTAATTATTCTCCGCGGATGTCAAACGCTGTCCGGAGAATAACCAAAATGTGCCACATCACCCCTTGCTCAATATTGCTTGGTACCGCTCGGTACCGCGGCTCGGTACTACTAACGTGGCGCATTCTTGTTGGTCTCCGGATGACGTTCTGCCCCCAGTCTCCGCACAGAATAATTCTCCAAAATCTGACACGACCCGAAACCTGACCCTAAAAATTCCCTGTTTACCATACGGGTTGGGTTCAGGTTCGAGTTTAGAACACGTTTGTGAAACTGGGTTGGGTTGGGGTTGACCCAGAAACCCGAAATCAACCCGATTTGACCCGGTAGAATGACTGTCGCGTGTGGCATGGCCCGCATTTGATACGTGAGCATGACGTTTGGACTTCTGGTTGCGTTCACCGTCGGGCACTCTAGCTATTTCGAGACGTCGAGTCGCAGCCAGGCTAGCTAGCAGGTCCTCCGTCCACCGTGCGGCCTCCCATCACGCTACACAGTAGCCAATAGGCCACCACTCAACAGGTACTTCGTAATCTGCCCACGGTCCGTCCATTAGGCGTTAGTGGACAATAATCAGTCATTCAATCCGTTTGCGGTTTGACACGTCGAGTTTGCACGTCTCATTGAAGGTTGACATCGACCTCGCCGTGCAGCGTCTCCAGCGTCTCCGACACCTCCTCGCCTGCCGTCGTGCCGCCTAGTCACCTCGTCGTTGTGCAACCGGCCGTCGCTCTCGTCATCTCACCCATTTTTAAATTAAACATATTTGTGGGTCAAATTGGGTCAACCCGGTAACTCGAGCGAGTCAGGTCCGGGTTGAAATACCTGACCCATTTGTAATAACGGATCGGATTTGGGTTGACCTGTTTAGACCTGGATCAACTTGGGTTTGACCTGACCCGTCGACCTGTTTTGAAACCCCTAATTTTTGCTATACACTAACGAAATATCATAATTTTGTATTTTTACTGCTCCCCCAACCTATAGTCATAACTTCAAAAGATATTTTGGGAGTTGTACCATTTTTTATTTCACAAATTGTTCAACCAAGATCAAACACACTATTATGCAGATAGATAACGCTCGATGACTCTTTGTACTCACGAATTCTAAATTTTATTTGTCAAACCCAGCATAAAAAGATCGCTTATCAAGTACCGGTTGCTTCATTTCATTAATATTTTATAAATTGCTGTTTTCGAATGAGATGTCAGCATCGATGTAGATCCTGATACATCCATATCGACGAAGCCCAATATTTTAGCCATTTATTCAGATAACTTTTGTGATTTCTCGAGTACCTTAATTAATATCAGATATTATAGTTAATTCTACTACTTTTTTTCAAGTAATTTCTCGAGTAAACTGCTTGTCTTTGATAGTTGTTTATCACTGTTAGAAGAAATAATTATGTACATATTTATCTGATTATTATACTAATCTAAGCAAATATGTCACTTTATTCATAACTCTTTGCTCTCATCAACAAAATTGGCAGTGAATCGACAAATGAGCATGTAAGACATAAGAAATTTTTACTTTTCCTTTTAGTTTTTATAAGTTCACATCAGCATATGCATATTTCTTTTTATGATTCTTTACTAAAATCATTAAAAAGTTATAGTAAACATGTACTGTGAATAACATTAGGCTTTCTTCATTCTTCAATTTATTAGTTACTACTTCAAACAAAGCCAGAAAAGGGAAATCAACATATCAAAAGATTATTTCATGCAAATGAAGCAAAAGTCATCATTTTAGCTCTTCTTGTCAAAAGCAAGAGCAGTACATGTGTGGCGAGGAATTTGTCCTCGCGGTGCCTGTCAACGAAGAAAAGCAGTTGATCTAGGAAGAAGATGAATCAGAGAGACTAGGGCGGAATACGTGAGCAACGTGAACCCGTCATTATTGTAGATAATGGTGTTGCAGGTACTCGACGACATGGGGTTGCAGGAGAGTTTTGGCTAGCGTAAATCCCATTAAATTTACCGAACAACGGGATTTAATAAATCTCGAATTTATGTCCTAAATTCGAGATTTACGTGGGACTCAGATTAGTTGCAAGCTCGAAAACTGTTTGGCAAGATTTATTATAAATTCGGCTTCAAATCGGATACCAAACAAGCACTTAGGATTTACTAAATTTGGATTTACAAGATTTACTAAATCTCACTAAAGTTAAATCCTACTTGTTGCCAAAAGGTCCCTTAAGCTGAATTTTGCTTAAATCTTGCCTTAAATAGGATACTAAACAACAGCTTTGACTCATGTGAATGGGATTAAGCCCCCTATGAAAGATGCCATTTCTTGTCATTGGCTTTTAAAATGTGGATTTTACTCTTTTGTTTACTGTATGAGTTGTAGTAACTTCTTTGTGTGAATTGTGCCCCCTTTCAAGGCTAGATTAGTTGTTTTATCTTTAGCCAAGCTATTTTCTAGTTAGATTATCTCAGCAATTTATAAGAGAAAGTTATTCTTTACTTATTTTTAAGGTGAGATATTCTCATCTCTCTGAGGATGGAATTGCAGTTTTGTAAAATTAGAGCAAATTTCATTTCTCAGCATCTCCAGTATAGCAATTGATGCCCAAATCACAGCATAGAAACAAAGAATTGGAGTGCCAATGGACTGCAGAGACAGCAGTGAGTTACAGCTCTTGGAGGTCGCCCGAGGAGTTCGCAAGTTAACCCAGATGATTGATTCATGGTCTAAAGCACCAAATCTCGATACTCGATCGAAATACATAGCAAAGGATCTACTGAGAGATTCTTTGGCACTCCAGGAGTCCTTAATAACCATCAGAAGGCTGCAGGAAACCTCAAGGATGATGTCCTTCATGGAGCAAAAGCGTGAATTCGGCTTCATTAAAGAAAGACAAGTAGAGGAAGATAACAATGTTGAAGAATTTGGTTCTCTAAGATTTGGAGTAGGTATATATGATGATATTATCAATAGTATATCCACTAATGGCTCTTCAAGGAATCATTCTGATGAGATGAAGAGTGCTATTAGAGGTAAATATAACAATCAAAATCTTGTGTCTTTCAGTAATCATGGCATTGCCTCTTCGAACCGGTTTATTGAGTTCCCCACAAATTGCAGCTTTAGCTTGACCGAAAATTCCCAAGGCATGACAGATCTGACAATGAGAGCCAAAGATCCAAATGTGATTGCAAAGCTTATGGGTTTAGAAAAAATCCCTATGCAAGTTGTTCAATCATTGAAAAAAGAACAGAATAACGGTAAGATGGAAAATATTTATAAAGAACCTCTTGATTATGAGAACTTGAGGATTCAACCATGCCTCACCAGCGATGAACGAAGATCGCATGTTAATGGAAGTGAAGCCCCAACCATTTTGATCAGGAAGCCTCTGCAATTAGCCCATGAGAACAAAGGAGAGAATCATAAAAAGAAAGAAAATCTGCCAGCTGAATTGTATTTAAAAAAGGAGGTTTCTGGTGATGGGCATATGTTAAACAGAATAAAAGCAATCAAGAAAATGGATAAAGTTTCAATGGAATTGTTTCCAAAGCATAGGAATCAAGCTTCTGTAACTCATAAACAGCAGAGAAAGGAACCAATGGCTGTAGGTGTAACTAAAGGTAGAATCTTGAGTGGTAAAGCTTCTGAAGAGAAAAGGGATGTCCAAGTTACACTTCCACTATTTCAAACCAAAAGAATCAAAGAACCACTGGCTAAGGCTGATAAAAATCTTGCTACTGCGAAAGGTGGAGCTCAAGCTGTCTATGTTCAATCAAGCACATCTAGAAAGAATATTTCCATTGCTAATGCCAAAACCATGGCAAAGCATTCTGGCACCTATTTAATGGATGGCAAGAAGAGTGGAGAAAAGATGTCTGGAATATCCAAAAACATAAAGGTAACTTTGCTTTCTCTCTCATCATTAGTCTTTATTTGGAACAACTTTTTTGTTGCTTTCTAAAACAGCTTTCTAGTACAAAAATTTCTTGAATTAGATAATTTTATACTAGAAAACTGTTTTAAGAAACAGTACGAAAGCTATTTCAAACAAAATCTTAATCACTTAGTTCTTTCAGCTAAGTATTTATTAAATGATGTTAATTAAATGAAAGTAGAAAAAAAAAAAGTAACATTGAATCTGAAAACCGATCAGTATATTTGTAATTCCATATTAATAAAGTGAGATTCTTGTAGTTGAACTAATTTTTGTTTTAGATTGCTATATAAGAAACATTTTTGTGTGGTAGAAAAGAGATGCATACAATTTACTAATGTTTTTATTTATATTCATTGCCCCCAGTCTGCAAACACAAAGTACATTGGAGTTGGCAAAAGAAGTAGACCTACCAACAAGGCTAGTGATTTTTACAAAAGTTTTTGCACTTCACCTATTCACTTCCCACAACAAATGTTAGAAGACTCTAAACTTGGCTATGGAGGTAAAACCTATATTTCTTTATATAACTGCAGTATTATGATTTCTATGTTAATTAGCTGAAATAATGAAATTATTTTTTGTAAAGAAAGCACAAGAATGGGATCTAAAAGCTTTTATGAAGTTATGCCAAAGGGTAGCAAAGTTTGCAAGCAGAGAATATCAGTGAAAGCAGCTATGCCACCTTATGATAAAACAAAAGCTTTGAAAGAAGCGGCTGGACCTCAAAAGGACGTCAAACTGCTACTTCTAACCAGCCCAGATTTCTTAACTGAAGCAGAAGAACTCTTTGGATTTGATGTTCAGGTATATAGAACTAAATCCTATCAAAACAGTAATTTTGAAGAATTTGAAAGCAGAAATGCTTATAAACTTCTAATTGGCTGTGCTATGGAGCTGATAACTAGAAAAAGTTACCAACTTGAGCTCTTGAACCATCCTATGTGTGGAACTTATCAACAAAGTTCAAAACTTCTGATATCTTTAGAACAACTAGTGGAAGATGTCTGCAATGGTATGAAGGAATTAAATGGCTATTACAGAACTGCTGACTTAAAAGATGATTTGTATTTGAGGTTGGAAAGAGATCTAAGGTGCAAAGATATGTTTCTGAATGCTTCATGGGATTTTGGCTGGATTGGTTGGGTTTGTGTGGAAGAGTTTGGGACAGTTGTAGAGCAGATAGGAGAGCATATCATTTGTGGCATAGTTGGAGAGGTTGCTTTTGATTTGTTGCATTAGAATACTTGTGTATTTTTTTCTCTTTATTTTTATCAATCTTTGTATGGTAGAATGAAAGTTTTGATCCAATAAAATGTTAGATTTGTGCTCTCAGATCAACAAAATACAAAAATATGAGAAAATTGTCTCAAATGAACACTAAATTATAGTGTAGCTTGCTCACTGACTAAGCAACTCTTCACTTTAACCATAGATGGGCAACTTTAAATCTTATCACTTTCTTTGTCATATCTAAATCCTGGATGATAAAAATGAAGGGATGTGTTAGTTAGTTGATAGCTAGAATAAAACTGGTCGAATAATCATGATATGAATCATTTAATATATTATGTTAATGCTAAACATTCCCTCAAAGCAACATAATATATGATTTGAATATAGTGAGAAATGTGCAAGAGAAATTTCTCCATGGAACATTTTTATCATGTGCAGTCTTCAATAACCATTCTCTAGATTTCTTTTAGGAAAAAAATAAAGGATGAATCCACGGAGGAATCCCTTAATAATACATTTGACACCAACCATACAGTAAAACAACTTCAACATCTCAATTTCCAACAAATATTGATATCCAAAAATGCTTATGGAGTTTTCTCAACCATCCATCCAATCATTTGGAAACAGTTCAGTAAAAAAAATAAACAATGAGCTGCAAGAGACAGAAAAAGCCAAATAAACTTACACAATTCACGTTAAATAATCTAAACAAATCTATTACAAAAACACCAGTTTTCAACCCAAAAAAAAAAAATCCCATTTATCTGTTGACAAAAGAGAAATAAATAGCAGAAAATGGGGTGAAGAGTATGCGAAGCAACTCTAATCAATCTATTACTGTCGGTACAGTAGAAAAACCTGATTTTCTATTGCAATTTCAATATCACTTGGCTTTCTTGACAAGCATTGCAGTCCTGTATTCTGCATCTGACTTGATGAAACTCCACCACAAATAGGTGAGAGGAATGGTGGTTGCATGCCACAGTGCATGGGCGTCCACATATCCACCATATGGTGAGAAATCATAGATCTCCAAAAGCATGGCAATGGCAGCCCCAAACACAACTGTCCAAAGCTTGAAGCGATGAGGGTGACGCTTCATTCCAGCCCAGATTGCCCACGCGAGTAGTTGAATGATGCCCATTACAACACAAACTTTCATATTCCACCCTACAAGCAGGTTGATTGTATTGAATAAATTTGAGTGTTGCAGGAAAAAAAATATTGATAGTACAATCATCATCGTTACTCTAGGTGGTTAAATCTATTCTTAACAAAATATTTCGAACAACTTCTATTCAAATTATCATAGAAATACTCATTGTTCCTTCATAAACCCCTCAAACATAAAATTCACTCTTGTATTTTAGGAGAAATTATTTTGTGCGGAGACCGAACGCAGAACGCAGTTCGGAGACCAACCACAATGCGCCATGTCAGTGGTACCAAGCACTGGGGTGATGTGGTGCATTTTGGTTGATCTCCGGACAGCGTTGGGCGTCCACACAGAATAATTTCTCGTATTTTAGACTCTTAGGTGGTTCAAGCTATATTATAAAGTATAGAAACATCCATTAGACGAGCAGCAAAAAAGAGAAACAAATGATTAAAAATGAAAATATGAAGACAAAATAATATAGATTTTAATCATTAAAAAGATTTATTCATTATGAGTTTAACAAACTCATAGAGCATTCAATAGAAATAAGTGAAAAATGAGAATTCATAAAGATTTATAGAAGTAAGAGTGAGGATAGTGATGGAATGTTGGATGGGCTAAATATTATTCTCAATCCTATCAAATGAATGCATTTTAGCAACAAATGATATGCATCTAATAAGGAATAATGGAAAATAAGTATTCATGAAGTTATACCCCAAAGACAAGATCTAAAAAGAGAATATTAAATGATAGTTGTGATGAAGAAAGGAATTCAACAATAGATCAGAAAGCTTTACCATAATCAAGTTGATAGAAGTTAAGAAACAATATGTGAGTTGTCACAAAGGCCAAAATAGGGGCAGCAAACATAACTCTAGTCGCCTCATCCTTCACATCAAATGTTCGCAGCAAAGATAGAATCAATGAGTATCCAAGTAAAGCCACAGCTGACGAGTAATCCAGCTTCTCAGTCATTTCAAAGTCTCTGAGAACCATACCAATTGAAAAATATAGTTAATGAAGGGTGAATACAGAAAATTCAGTGTTATGATTAAGATTAATGGCTTACCTTGTATGGAATATAGTACTCCAAAACCAGGCATTCATTGATAAGAGACCATAGATATGCCACAACCCAGTGTATTCATAGTAAGTTCTCTTGCTATGGGGCCTAAGAGGAAGCTTGTAATTTACTAATACAAAGAATGAGAGCCATCCAACGAAATGCATCATTAGATTGAAAGCAGACAAGGCAGCTGAAGCAGGCTCCTGATGCAAGGAAAAAGTTTGTTAAACTTGGCTATGCAGAATGAAGAGACAAAACACTCAAGGAAATCAGATAATACAACATGATCTGCACAAATTGCAGAAAAAAAAAAACTTGTAGATTTAGGTTTCATTTGGGACGGTTTTCTTACTGCTTCTTAAAGCAAATTTTTACTAAAAAAATTAAAAATTTTGTATTAAAAAGCTGCTTTAAGAAATAAGAAACAATAAAAAAGCTGTCTCAAATGAAGCCTTAATAAAACAAAAGGACATTCAACATATATCAGGATATTATGAAATGACACCTGAAAGACAAAGATGCGCTTGAATGGCCATTTCCCATGATACTTGACAGGACTGAGGCCAAGTGCCTCCCTTTCACTTTCTCTTTGGATCATACAATGATAGCAACAATCACTTTTGCAGTTCAATTGTTTCCATTGCAAGTAAAGTGGTTCTTGCATGTACCATGTATTATTAACAGCCTCATCACTACTGGAGGAAAACAAACAGTGTGGGATAGATATGTCTCCTACATTTCCTGTCTTTTCACATTGTTCAACACAGGTTCTGAAGCAGACAGGACTAGTCAGTACAATATAAGAGATTATGTTTGGAAAATTGGGTATACAACAGTAGCACACAACATGAAACATGGTAGTTCTCACAAGCACAAACAAGTTGGATTACCTATTAGTTATATCTTAATAGTCAAATACTTGTTGAATAATCAAGACAAGAATCCTTTAATACATTACGTTGTTGTTGCAGTCAAATACAATGCGAAAGAAAAACCTTTTGCTTAAAAGAAAACAATTAAAATACTCTCCAGAAAACTAATAAATAGAGCAACAGTGACTGTAATTTGTAAAATTTGGAGTAATAAAACTTTTAAAACCCTTAAACACATCCTCAACATTTTTTAATTTCCAGAAAAGCTTTTCAAAGAAAATCAGAAATTTGTTCAAGCTGCATAAGACGTACAAGACCTGCACATCATACATTCACTAAGGTCATCTCCAACCAAAAATCTCATATTTCACTTCAAAATACAGTGAAACTAAAACATGACGTGATTCATCTCCAATCAAATTCCATTTTGCGCCATTCGCAGAAGATAATCGTCTTTCTCCTCTTTCGTGCGTTTCTTTGGCAAATCCGGTAGAGACAGAAAAATAACACAATATTGACGTCGCACTGTTCACTGGCAACCAAATACCGGAAGTTTTGCCGTTCGGCTGGAGCTAGCGAGAGACGCCATTCATGCGTTTGGAGTTCGGTTGGAGAGGGCCTAAGCAATTTGATCATTAATCGCCACCCCCAGTACCTTCTGCTCTAAAGATAAAGCTAGGAGTACTTTTGAGGCAATTCTATGACCAACCGATATCCTGAACTATACAATTGGTAACGACATAAAAGGGCAGGATAAGGTTCAAGCAAAAAGTTCTTAATCAGCCCACAAAATCAATAGCCATTGGAGGACTGTTCAATTGAGCATGCTGCCATCATTGTGCCTTACCTAGTTACCTCCCCTCAGCAACTACATTGCAGGCCATGTGAAATGCACATCATAGGTGGTACACATACCTAGAGCTTTGTATTTTTCCTATTCAATCAATATAAGAGTTGCAGAGTTTCTTTAGTTTTATAGATAGATACTTGATAGGAAATACTTGAGTTTGTAAGTAATCCAAGAGGAAATACTTTAGTTCGCAAGCAATCCTACTAATAATTGATAAAAACAGTGGAAATAAGGTGATAATCTTGATGAAATCAATCCAAAATGATAGATTGACATAGTGGATTCAAAGCAAAAGAAAACATAAAGCAAGATACAATTGATCCTCAATTCTAGAGGAAGATCGTTCTCTACCAATCTCTAGATGATGAATCTAGAGTCCAAGACTCAAAAGAAACCTCAAGAGAACAAAAGAAAACCACTCAAAGCATGTCTAACCCTAACCCTAAACAACCCATACTATTAATACATTAATTTCCTAATTCAAAAAAAAAAAATCCCTAATTCAAACTCTTTAATTCAAAATTTCTCTCATCCTAGCCGCCCACCCCTCATTCTTTAATTTTCTACTAGTGGGGCCCACTAGTTTGGGCGGCAAGAAGGAAGGGAGGCAGCTCTTGTCCGCCTCCTGTAAATAAGAGCCAGCTGAACCGGCCTAACAATACCATCGTGTTTATGAGGCATGAATCTATTGGTACCTTTTAGAATGCAAGCAAACCTTCAATCTCGCGTTGCCTCAAACTTTGCAAAGGTGTGTCATGTAACAAGGAAATTTAGTCCCCACGGGAATGGTTTCCAAGAGGAACAATTTTTAATAACAATTATGCACCAAAGTTCGACCAAGGCCAAAAAATGGAGATTCATACTGATTGTATGAAGCCAAAAATATCAAAGTATTAACTTAGATCAAAAGGTTTTAATACTGTTAAACATAAGCAAGAATCACCAATTTGCATAATTACAAAAATATGCTAGCCAAGTGCAAATGAAAAGTTCAAAAAAGAATATTTTATGTGTCTGCTTCCTAACAATATAATAGCATATATAAGACATGACAGGCCTAGCACAAATCGTTATTACATGTGTGTGCTTCCTAACAATGTAAGACCAATATTTGAAACATAAATTTCTTTTAATTGACATGTTATCAACCAAATTACAGAAATTGATCAAGTTGGGAATGAGAATGAGGAAATCTCTACATCCAAAGTGATATAGCGAAAAACCGGGTAGAGTGGCTTTGATTGTGCTCAATCTATGCCAGGCGTCTAAAAGTACCTAAATTTTTCTTTCTGATCAATGCCAACCGCACATAGTGGGATAAAGGTTTCTTGTTGTCGATGTTGTTGTTGTAGTAAAAAAAAAAACACACACTATATGGCACATGCAATATAACTTTCTACATGTTCAAAGCAGCAAAGAAACCATCTGAATTTCATTGATCTTCATATGTTCACTTGATAATGCTGTGGCTCAAAAAAGCATAATTAGAAATGAAGAATTCAAATAACTATTTGAACTTATCACAAGATAAATTTTTCTACAACAATGAATACCATAGGAAAATATTAAAAAAAAAAAACCATGATTAACCATCTTTTCAAAAAAAAAAATTCATTTGTTAGAATTACAATTTCATAAAAAATGGCAAATTTTAAGGAAATATAATACTGATGCTTTTCTTCAAAATAGACGTTTAAAATCTACATATCTAGAGTCAATAATTTGTCTTTTAAAAGACATCAAGCATTTCGCTAATAGGGAATCATCCCTACGCAAATGATAGGCAAAGCTATATTAGACAATCCAAATTAGAAAGTTAACAGCTAATGATATAAGCAATACAAACTCAAAAAACACAGCAGCACCAAAGTTGTTATATACTTTATGGCAATGGAAGGAAGCATCAATCTTTAAATTAAGGCCTGAACCAATTTCTCTAACTAACCAACCGCAAAGCATCGATAGATGATCACAGTGTTACGCCTGGACCGGTCCGGTTCTACACCCGACGGGCCAGAGTTGGGCGGAACCAGGCGGAAAACGCAGAGGAGCGGGAGTCGGTGGGCCCAAACAGTGGCTAAAACGCATGGTGGGAGGGAAAATTTTTGAATGAGAGGCTGTTTTAGGAAGTCCATTATTGTCCTTTATGATTAATTTGTATAATTAGGAGATTTGGGGGGATTGGCTCCTCATCTTGAATTTTGAATTTTCATTTGAGATCTAGGTTTCGTTTTGGGGCTCTTGGCATCGCCGGAGATTGTGGAGAGTACGTTCTTCCTCTCGGATCGAAGAACAATTGTATCTTGATTATTTTGCTTTGCATCTAGTGGAATACAAGTCTTCACTTGTGTTTTCTCTCAATTTCTCCCTGTTTCTTGCTGTTTTCTAGCTGTGGACAGCAGTTTTACTATTGGTTTTTACTAATTTGGGGATAGGAATACTTGCGACCTAAGTACTTCCTATCAAATTGGTATCAGAGCATCGATTCGGGACCACCGGCGGCTGAAATTCTGAAATTTCAGCAAGTTTATCTTTTCCGGAAGAAGATTTTTTGGGATCCGTTAGAAGAAAGATGGCCGGAAAGAAGGTGGAAGTATTAGAATGCGAGTTCGGACAACTGAAGACAGATCTGGAGGGAAAGTTCCTGGAAATCTCCACCAACAATGACAGGTTGGAAGGGAGGTTCGCGGCTATG